CAGTCTAGAATCCAATCCAGGATCACCTATTGTATTTAGTTTTCACGTCTCTATATCCACTTTCGATGTGGAGTAGTTCTTTAGTTTTTCCTTGTCTTTTATTGCTTAACACTTTTGAAGAATACAGACCTACTCTGTTGAATGACCTTCAGTGTGTGGTTGGCTGATACTTCCTTAAGATTATGTTCAAGTTAAACATTCTTGGCAGGAATAACACAGAAGTGATGCTGTGTTCTTCTCAGCAGATCACACTGGGGCATACCATGTTGATTTGTCCCATTGCTCGTGATGTTGACTTATCACTTGGTTAAGATGATTAATTATTAAATATTTTATACTTATTAATTAATAATTAGGAAGTCTTTGAGTGATTAATTTTAAATATATTTAAAAGTATTTGAATCTATGCAAATGCCCTGTTCCTCATCATATTTTTCACCCACTAGTTTGAGTCTCCATTGATGATTCTCATCTGACATAATTATTACTGTGATAGCTGCCAAGTGCTCATTTTCTGACTTCTTAATTGCTTCTACATGTATTATTAACTGATGTTCTGTTACAAGATAGAATTTTTCCTTCTCCCAAGATTTATAGATGAGGCTCCAGTTAAACCAGCAGTTTGAGTAAATTACTGGTGAAGACCTTCTCTGGGTCTCATGAATGTTCAGTTTGTTTATGTAGGTAACTAAGCTTTTTCTGGTCCCTAACTGGAGGTGTCATTCATTTCACATTGGAACTTTCTGGGGCTTGACTCACCTTGTTGGAATTTAGCTTATGTGGTTACACATTTAGAGGTCAGAGAAAGAAGACACATTGCAGAATGAGATCTACTCAGAGACAGGACTTTTCTTTCACTGAGTTAATCTGTGTCCATTAGGATCTAGTAACAGGGCAGCTGTGGCCACTTAGCAGTGAGAACTAGTTCTATAGTCCAAATGGCTTGAGATAAATGAGTTCTGGCAAATAATTATTTTTTAAAAATATTTTATTTATTTCTTCATGATAGAGAGATATAGACAGGCAGAGGGAGGAGCAGGCTCCATGCAGGGAGCCCAACGTGGGACTTGATCCTGGGTCCCCAGGATCACACCCTGGGCTGAAGGCAGCGCTAAACCGCTGAGCCACCCAAGCTGCCCTGGTGTGAATACTTATTGCCAGTTTCCAATTAGCTGTGAGATTGGCCACAAACATCTGTAATTTTACCAAATATGGAGGCGATTACGGGTTCCAGGTAAGAGTTTGACTTACCAATACCTGGATTGCTTCCAAACTTTCTTGTTCTAGTGATTCTTATGCAAATATTATGACTTATTTGCTGGTTTGGGATTATAACAGATGTTTATTGGCAATATCTAAAGAGGGCAATTAGGTATTAGGTATCTGTTTTTTTTGTAGTTAGTGGCTACAGGACCAGCAGTGGATCTTTCTTGGGCCATAAAATGTCTCTTTGGTCCAAGGGCTACATAGCCTCCAAGCCTCCACTTTGGTGAAACCTTGGATTTTTTATTCATTCAAGATCCATTTGTGCTTAAGTGGCCATGTGCAGAGCAATGTAAGAAGTTTTCTCAATGAATGCCATAAGTTTAAAATGTTTTTAAAATAGATATCACGGGGGTCCTAAGTAGCTCAGTTGGTTGAGTGACTAACTCTTGGTTTCAGCTCAGGTCATGATCTCTGGTTGGTGAGATGGAGTACCACATCCAGCTCCCTGTTCAGTGGGGAGTCCCTCTGCCCCTCCCCCTACACACACACATACACACATGCACATGCATGGGGATTCTCTCCAAATAAATACATCTTTAAAAATTTAAAATAAATATCACATTAAGAAATTATTATTGAATTTCTTTAGGCATGATGATATTATACTATATGTTTTTTAAAAATACTCTTATTGTTTACTGAGGCACATTGAAATATCAAAGAAGAAATCATAAAGGAAATTAGAATATTTCAAATTGAATAATATTGAAAGTACAATACATCAAAGTGGGTGGGACGAATGCAGTGATATGATGTCTTAAATTTGCTTTCAAATAAAAAGGGAGTGAAACAGGAAGAAAAAGGAGGAGGAGAAGGAGGAAAAGATGATATAGCAGAAACCAGTCTGGCTACAAGATGATAAATATTAAAATTGGTTAATGCAGGTCATAATACTACAAATATTAAAGTGAAATAAAGATATTTTCAGGTAAAACTGATAAAGTTTATTGTCAGAAGACATGCAGTAAAGAAATGCTAAAAGAAATTCTTCAGGCTAAGGAAATTGATACCAGATGGATACTTGGATTTGCAAGCAGGAAATGGCAATGTGTGGAAAAATATAAAACTTTAAAATCATTTTAAAGATACATGACTGTTTAAAGCAAACCCAGTGTATTATGGGCCTTTAACATAAGTAGGTGCAGTATTGTGACAAAAGCATAAAGGATGGCAAGAACTATACCATTCCACTGTTCCTTAATTTTAAATGAATATTCACTTTAAATAGACTGAAATGTTAAAGATGCATAGTACACTTCCTAGCAACAACTTAATTGCATAATGCAAGAGGTATGCCTAAAAGCCAATAAAGGAACTGAAATGGAATACAAAAAAAATTCATATCTCAAACCAAGGCAGGAGAGGAGGAATAAATTTTCATGAAACAGGGAAGCCCGGGTGGCTCAGTGGTTTAGCACCACCTTTGGCTCAGAGTGTGATCCTGGAGATCCAGGATCGAGTCCCACATTGGGCTCCCTGCATGGAGCCTTCTTATCCCTCTGCCTGTGTCTCTGCCTCTCTCTCTCTCTCTGTGTGTGTCTCTCATGAAAAAATAAATAAAATATTTTTAAAAAATAATAAAAAAATAAATTTTCATAAAACAAAAGAGAAAAACAAAAAATCAAGACCTGGATTCAACCACATCAATAAGTATATTAAATATAAGTGGACTAAACCCTCTAATAAAAGGCAGTGATGGTCAAATGAGCTTTAAGAAAAACAAAACAAGATCTAACTGTATACTGACCACAAAAGATACATTGTAAATATAAACACACTGATTGGTTAAAAGTAAAAGGATAGAAGATATACCATACAAATGCTAAGCGGATAAAAGTAGGATGGCAATATTAATATCAGACAAAATGGACTTCAAGACAAGGAATATTACCAGAAAGATAGAGAGGAATGTGTTTTTTTTTTTTTTTTTTTAATTTATGATAGTCACACAGAGAGAAAGAGAGGCAGAGACACAGGGAGAAGCAGGCTCCATGCACCGGGAGCCCGATGTGGGATTCGATCCCGGGTCTCCAGGATCGCGCCCCGGGGCCAAAGGAAGGCGCCAAACCGCTGCGCCACCCAGGGATCCCGAGAGGAATGTTTTGTAAAGAGAAAAGGATCAATTCATAAAGAAGTCAGAACAATTATATATGTACCAAATAATAGAGTTTCAAGTTACATAAAACAAAGCTGACTGAATAGAACAATTAAACAACAAAAAAGTAAGAATATAGAACTGAGAAAACTTCTCAATCACCTTGACCTAATATTTATAGAAAACTAAACCCAACAACTTCTAAATATATATGTTTTTTATGAGCAAAGCAACTTTCACCAAGATACACAATTTCCTAGTCCAAAAAATAAGACTCAGTACATTTCAAAACTGTTAAAATCTAATTATGAATATTTTTAAACAACAATGCAACAAATTTGAGGTTAAAAAATATAAAATATCTAGAAAATCCCAAAATATTTGGAAAATAACTCACAAATTACCTGTGGCCAAAGAAGAAATCACAAGGGAAATTAGAATACTTCAAATTAAATGACAGTGAGAATACAACACATCTAAGTGGGTAGGATCCAACTAAAGCACAGCTGAGAGGAAAATATATCATTTAATTTCTTATATTAGAAAAAGAGAAAAAGGATTTAAAATTAATTATCTAAATTTCCACCTTAAATAGCTAGAAACAAATAGCAAATTACATACAAACTAAGTAGAAAGAAATAAGTGATGAAGAGTAGAAATCAATAAAATAGAAAATGAATAGAAAACTTCTGTGAAAACAAAAGCTGGATTTTTGTTTTTATTTTTAAATAGCAATAGAATTGATAAATTCCTAACAAGAATAACCAAGCCAAAAAAAAAGAAAACACAAAATACCAATATCAGGAATGAAAATGGGAATATTGCTTTTGATCCCATAAACATGAAAAAGATAAAAGAAAATCATCACAATTTTAGGCTAATATGTTCAATTTTTTAAATGGTTGTTTTGTAGATTCCTGAGTTGTTTTTTAAACATTGTTTTGTACATTCTACATACATGAATTGAGAGTTCATGAGCTGCTTCCTTTCCAATATATATTCTTTTTTACTTTTTTTCTGGCTATGTTGAAATGGCTAGGACTTCCAGTATGTGTTAAATTGAAGTGGTGAGAGTGAACATTCTTGCTTTATTCCTGATGTTAGGAGTAAGGAATTAATATTTCATCACTAAGTGTGATGTAGCTTACAGGTTTTTATTTTAATTGCACCAGGAAGTCGTTGTAGGGTTTTACTTGCATGGGTGATGTTATCTAATTTATATCGTTAAAAAACCACTTGGGCTGCTGTGTAGAGAATGGGCCCCAGGAAGAAGAGCAGAAGCAGGGAGACTGTCAGGAAGGACTGCTGGAGTTGTGCAGGAGCGAGGTGGAGGTGCTTTGCACCAGAGTGATAGCAGTGGATATGGAGAGAGGTAGTTGGATTTGGAGATACATATGTGTAAAGCTGATAAGACCTGCTGATTTATTGAATTTGGGGTAAAGGAAAAAGAGAGAAAATCCAGATTTACAGCTTAAATAACTATGTTTATTTCAGATTTTTTTCCTTATGTTATTTCAGGCTTAACTTTTTTTTAAAGTCAGAACATCATAGAAAGAACAATGACCAATATTTATATTGGATTTTTGGTCAGTTTTAGATACTAGTGTTCTGATTGAAATTTCCATGTCTGTCTTTTCAGGTGTGTCCAAGACTGGTTTTCAGAAAGGATGCAAGTGGCCAAACTGGATTTCTCTACAGTGTTACCACGCTTCATTTCTCTATATATCTTTTCCTTCCTGAATCCAAAAGATCTGTGTGCAGCTGCACAAGTCAGCTGGCCCTGGAAGTTTTTAACTGAACAGGTTTACTACTTGTCACTTTCTAGTAATAGGGCGCAAATACAACTGTATTCTGTAATGAAGCAATAGGGGTAGCTTCCTTCCTGAAGATAATGACTGAGGTTATTTGAACAGTAATTAACTTACTCTTCAGAGAAAAAAATGGGGGTAAGTTAAATACAGTAATTTACTTTGTAAGTAAGGAAATATACACTATTCTAATAATTCATGTAATTTTAAGAATCTTTAAATTACTCAATTTAATTATTTAGAAAATGTTTTATCTTGGCTAAAGAAGTCCACTTTTTTCCAAGAGAAATTAGTTGAGCTTTGGTTATTATATGATATTATTTTACCCATGATAACTCACCTTGAAAACTGTTATACAACCACAGCCTCATCTGATCCCTCTTTGGCTAACATCTGTTAAAGAGATTTTCCTCCTCTGCCATTAATTTTGCCTCCGGCCTAGTCGTCTCATTTTCTTTTTAAAGATTTAATAAAGTGTGATGGCAGACATACTTTGAGTACAAGTCAATAATGAATTTACTTCTTTACCATGAACAAACTTCCCAGGGTGGGCTTGCATTGAGTGTCTGATCTCAGAGAATACGTAGCTCTCTATGGAGAGGCCACATGCAAAACCAACCGTGAGCCTTGGATTGACAGCATTTAAGAACCCATTCCAAGTGTTTGCACATGTATTGTTTTCTGACTTTTTACTTTCAACTTATGCCCTTATATTTAAGGAATATGTCTTGTAAACAGAATATGGTTGTTGGTGGTTGTCTTTTTAACATTTGACAATCTTTGGCTTTCAGCTGGAGTAATTTTTCTATTTACATTTGTGTATATACTACATATTTAAGCTTAAATCCACCATTTTATTTTGTATTTTTTGTTTGTTCCATGTGTTTTATTTTGTTTCCATTTTTGTCTTTTGGAGTTCTTAAATGTTTTTTATATTGTTAATTATGAATTATTTAGCAGTTCTCTCATGGTTGTACTAGAGATTACAGCACTCATCTTAGGGCTTTTTTTTTTTTTTTTAACCACTTCTGAGATAATGCAAGGAGCTTAGGACCCCTTTAACTCTAATAGTTCTGCTTCTACCTACCTTCAACTCTGTTGTCAAATTTGTTTTTTAAGATTTTATTTATTTGAGAGAGAGAGAGAGAGCACAAGAGAGCAGCAGAGGGAGAGGGATAAGCAGACTCCCTACATAGCAGAGAGCCCAACACAGCTCAATCCCAGGACCCTGGGATCATGACGTGAGCCCAAGGCAGAGGCTTAACTGACAGAGCCACCCAGGAGCCCTTCATGTCAAATATTTTAATTTTATACACACACACACACACACAATACACAAACACAATTTATATATATAAATTATATATATTATATTATTATAAATTATATATATATACACCTCACAAGACTATTATTTGATATAGTCAATATTTACTTATAAGTAACCATATACTTTTTCTGTTGCTCTTCATACCTTTCTTCCATCTCTGAGTTTCCATTTGGGATCCCTTTCCTTTTGAATTCTCTTTAATATTTCTCTATTGCAACTTGCTGCTGACAAATTCTCTTATTTCTGTTTGAAACTATCTTGATTTTCACCTTCATATTTGAAGGATATTTTCACTGGGAATATGAACTCCATGCTGGCAGTTAATTTTATAAAACTTTGAAACTTTTCTGTTGTTCTTTGGCTTCCATAATCTCTTTTTTTCTTTGAGAAGTAGAAAGCTTTATTGTTGTTCCTTTAATGGTAATATTTTTGTTTACTCTAACGGCTTTTAGGATTATATTTTTCTGTCTTGTCTTCTCTTTTCTACAATTTTATTATGATGTACCCAGAAGTGTGTGTGTGTATATATTTCTCCTGTTTTGTGTTTTGCAGTGATTTTTGAATCTGATATTTAATATCTTTATCAGTTTTGAAAACTTCTCACAGACTATCTCCTCATGTATTCCTTCTGTCCCATTTTCCTACTTTTTCTGATGAGATTGCAATATTTACACATTAGACTGATTCACCACCTCCCACAGTTTCATGTTCTCTCATGCGTCTTTTCCTATCTAGTCCTTTTGGCCTTTAGTGTTTCTACTTGGATTTTGCTTCTAGCTTTTTAGTTTACTAATTACCTCTTTAGCTAGATTCTAATTTGCTTTTAAACTGGTCCATTGAGTTTTAAACTTCAGTTATTATATTTTTCAATTCTAGAATATTGGTTTTGATTATTTCACCAAAATTTCACACCTTGCTGCTTAACTTCTTTAGACATATTAATTATAGGGTTATTTTTTAAGTTCATACTTAACAATTACAACATATGGCTCTCCTGAGAGTCTGTCTACTTAATAAAAGATAATAAAAGATAGAGAAGAAACAGACAACTATGATCCTTTTGTGTGCCTGGTGCTTTTGATTGAGTACCAGATATTGGATATAAAATATTGATGCAATAATTTGAGCCTCTGGATGATGTAATCTTCCTCCAGAGAGAATTTGCTTTTGCTTCTGGCATTTGGTTAGGGTAGGAATGCATCACTTAAATCCAGTCAGAGAAGGAGAGATTTTAAAATGGTTTCAGTCTTTGTGAGAGTTTGTCTAATTCCTTACCCTCACTGATAAGGATCTCAGCTGAAAGTCTGCTGTGATTATCAGGGCTTTTTCCCCTGGTGAGCCCTGAGTTTACAATTGTTTCCTCTCTTCCTTGTGAGAATGCCTAAAATTCTTTCTTAACTTCCATGTCATTCAGCCATAACTTTCTGCTCTGCTTCTCAGCCGGAGCTTTGCTTTGGAACTGTCAAATGCCTTGAAGTGAAAAGTAGTGCCAAATATTGGGCTTACCTCTTTAGGTTTCCCTTCTCTCTGGGGTCATGGTTGCATGAGCCCTTACTGCATTGGTAGCTCTATATGCCTTCAAATACTTGTTTTATAATAGTTGGTCTAGGTGCTTCAGTTAAACCACATGAAATTTGCTGTTTCCATATAGCAAAGCTGGTTGCATACTGGCAATATCATATGGTTCAACCAGAGGTGTTCCCAGTGGGAGGTTTGGTCCGAAACAAACGAAAACGCTATTGCTAGTAGCAGAATTCTCAGAATCTAGGGCTAACCAAATGCTATGGGAGCAGGTATACAGAGATGACTAATACATATATTCATATATAACATATATTGTCATCAAAGACTATTTTTGTATGGAATAAGGCATGCTTATTTGTTAGTGTCAAATTCAGATGACAAGTCAGCTGCCACAGAAATCTCAATGTAAAGAAAAAATATCCAGGGATCCCTGGGTGGCGCAGCGGTTTGGCGCCTGCCTTTGGCCCAGGGCGCGATCCTGGAGACCCGGGATCGAATCCCACGTCGGGCTCCCGGTGCATGGAGCCTGCTTCTCCCTCTGCCTGTGTCTCTGCCTCTCTCTCTCTCTCTCTCTCTCTCTCTCTCTCTCTCTCTGACTATCATAAATAAATAAATTTAAAAAAAATACTAAATAAATAAATAAGAATTTTAAAAAAAATTAAAAAAAAAGAAAAAATATCCGTGTACCCAGAAACATTATTACTAAGAAACGATCGGTAAAAATTTCTTGCAACTCATCTTTCTTATTTCTTTTTCTATAGGACTGCTTATGGATGCCCAAATGCATTAGGTTTGGGTGGTTTCTGCCCTATACTCCAGCAGATAATGAGTATGGTGCTTGGAAGCATCATTACATTGCTTGTGTGTCCAACTTAGATTGGCTAACACCTAGGGAAGCCGCTGCTATCTATGGGACCCTGAATGAACCCAAAACAAAATATGAGGAGTTGCAGGAGAAACAAAGAGAAAAGTGCTTAAGAAAATTAATTTGGGAGAAAAGTACACTACGTAAGAGTAAGTAGCATCTTAAAATGGTATCTTACCCAACCATTGTAGAAAAAAAATGGATTCATGTATAGATTCCCACAGAGGAGGATAGCTATGTCTTTCTGGAATAGCATGTGGAGGGTATTCTCTAAAGTATACTCAGGACAAGCTCTTCCCCCTCCCCACCTCCACCATATACTTCAAGTTAATGGATAAGAAAAAAAAAGAGTTCAGATGAAACACAGAAAGTCAAATATCAGTGCCTCCATTATTGTGCTGGTTCCTCTCAGGTTTATGAGACAGAAAAAAAGACAAGGAGGAGAGGGGAGTATGAACACATGCAAAAGCCAAGGACATAGGTCCAGGACAGAAAAATTGGGATTGGAGACAGAGGGGGAGAAGTGAAACTGAGAATGGAAGCAGGAAGAATGGCACTAAAAGAAAAGTGGGAAGGAAGGAAGGATAAGAGCTGCTCAGCAAAGCCTTCTGATTTGCACTGTGCACTGCTTGAACAGTGAAAGTGATTTGAGTCCTGACATCTTTTTTTCACTGACTCACCCTCTGTGAGATGGGAACAAATGGGGGATTACTTGAAGCCAAGAAGGGTAGACATGGATGTGAAGGCTATAAATAGATTAAGTGGTTTCCACAAGAAAAGAGGTGCTTGTTCTCTGAGTTTGGTTTCTTGACCTGACATGACTGGTAAGTAGTAAGTAGCATCTTAAAATGGTATCTTACCCAACCATTGTACTTGCAGCCACAGCACGGAAAGGATAAGAGATCCAAACAGAGTCTGTAAAAAGGGCTAGAAGTATTGGCCATTTGGAGTAGTACCCTGGTACAGCTTTATTTTTGATGCCTTTATCTATGTAGATTTGGCTGAGAGAAGCATGAAGTAAACAACCGAGCCTGCTGCTGTTGGTTTTTCAGAGGAGTTATTCAAAGTTCGACCCCCTTGGGTGAGCGGAACATGCTGCTCTAGATTGTTAAAATCCAAATGCCAGCCACGTCTCTCCCAGGCTCTGAAGGATCTGAGGGATCGAGGGGGATTACATGAAGCTTTGGAGAAACAGCTTGTTTTGGCATCCTTAGAAGCTTTGCCCAAGCGGTAAGCAAACCTCCATCTCCTGAAGGCTCAAGACCATCCCATGATACCAAGAATTCATTTTAGAATTATTTAGCTAACACACAGGGAGCTTGTAAAACTATCTGGCTCATATCCTACGAGATAGCAATAGAGATAAGTCCTTCATCTTCAAGAGCGGTGGTCTATGACATGTTTTCTAAAGAGGGAAATGTGTAACATTCAAATTTTATATTTCAAATATTCTTGACCCTGCAGAGAGGCTGCAATGTAGTACATTTTCTGTGCAAAGTTATTGAGCAAAAGTAACATTTTTTTTTCAGAAATTTTTTTTTTATGGAGTAAGTGTATCCAAATGGAAATGTGGGGGTAAGGGTAAGAGAATGGAGACATTATTTAGAAAACTGTGAGGACCAGATGATCTAGGAAATTTTAAATCTCTCAGCTGTTCTTTTTTAAAATGTCATTTGAACTGCTGAGTATGTCACTACATTCATTTTAAGTGCCCAACAAAAGCTAAATAAGTTCCAGGAAGCCTTTCCAGGATCCCATGAATGGAGTAGGAGAGACCCAGAGGCCAACTCTGGCCCTAACCCACCCAGGAGCCCCATTTGCTGCTGTGCCCATGGGAGGGAGGGAGACACTGAGGTCCTGAGGCCACGCGCCTTGCTCAGTATAACTGATGCCCAGACAACCTGTTGGTGCTCAGTTATCAAAATGCAATTAATAGAAAATTTAAATTTCACGTATACCCTTCTTTTCCCTATAGAAGCAATGTTTCTGGGATCCCTGGGTGGCGCAGCAGTTTGGCGCCTGCCTTTGGCCCAGGGCGTGATCCTGGAGACCCGGGATCGAATCCCATGTCAGGCTCCCGGTGCATGGAGCCTGCTTCTCCCTCTGCCTGTGTCTCTGCCTCTCTCCCTCTCTCTCTCTCTCTGTGACTATCATAAATAAATAAAAAATTAAAAAATAAAATAAAAAATAAAATAGAAGCAATGTTTCTGGAAGCCATTCCTACCCTTTATTATCAAAGAAAACTTGGCATGGAGTTCATAAAAATGATAACAGCTCTTCACATGCTTCCCAGCCCCACTTCTTATTAATATCATCTCGGATTCCTGCATATGAGGTACAGAGTATGTTAGGAGGTCTGCCCTTTTCTGAACCTATACGGGGGGATGTATGGCAGTCTTTTGGTCACCATGTGTATGAAAATTATTCCTCTTCTAAAAGGAAAATGGCCTAAGGGGAAATTTACAGACCCCAAAACACTTCTAAAAATCAGAAGCAATAAAGATAACCATAGGTCAAAATTACTTTAAAAAAAAAAACCATTAAAGGCCCAAACTACCTTGCATTTAATTAAGTGTCCAGTGAATTCTTATTGAACTGAATTTGTTATGCTTATTCCAGAAAAGAGCAAGGTGATTAAGGATTATTTTAAAACCTCTTTGAAATACCCAAGGAATTAAATATTATCATATTACCATCATTTCTCAAAAGGAGAATGTCAGAAATCCATTTGGTGAGCTATTCAAGGAGGGTGCCATTAATTAAAAAAAAAGATTTTATTAATTTATTCATGAGAGACACACACAGAGAGGCAGAGACATAGGCAGAGGGAGAAGCAGACTCCTTTCAGGGAGTCAGGGAGCCTGATGTGGGACTCCATCCCCTGACCTGGGATCACACCGTAAGCCAAAGGCAGGTGCTCCACCACTAAGTCCCAGCAGCTCAGGTGCCCCAGAATATGTTTTCTTTCTTTCTTTCTTTCTTTTTAAGATTTTATCTATTTATTCATGAGAGACACAGAGAGAGAGAGACAGGCAGAGGGAGAAGCAGGCTCCATGCAGGGAGCCTGACGTGGGACTTGATGCCAGGTCTCCAGGATCACACCCTGGGCTGAAGGCAGGTGCTCAACTGCTGAGCCACATGGGCTACCCGAATACGTTCTTTCTATAATGAAGTTATGTATTTTAATTTTAATATGACTAATAAGAAAAATGAAGGAAGCACAATGACGACATAGGAAGCATGTATTTTTATAGATATGTGAGTGCAAATATATGCATTGATATGTGTATGATTTTATAGATATATGATTGCATGTATCTCTATATGCACTGATACACAAAGAGGGACATATGTAAGGGATTACATTCAGTAAATTACATTAATTGGCCTACTTAGAAAGATTTTTAAAAATTCCTATTTCTAACAAAATGGTTGCTTTCAAAATATGAAATCGGTATTCTTTCTGGGCACCTAGAAATTGACTCTGATCATTTACAACCTGCCAGTTTCATGAATTCACAGAAAAGCAAGATCAGAGCTTTGATCTTCCCGTGGGCCCCATATAGTTTCCCTAATGTTTAATAATGGGCATCAAGCTGGGCATCTGATAAGGATAACTGGTAGTACAGTATGGGTGAAAAATCTAGTTTAAAGTAAGTCCATTCTCCTATTTGTCTTCTCTATCAATGCCATAATTACTCATTTTATTATGAATGTGATGGGTATTTAGGCAAAAAGTAGTATATAACGATGTGGTAGTCCTGTGTTTAGTTTGCACTGTGACCTTCAGAAAGTGGCATGAGGTTTGGGGGAAAAAATCATTGACTTGAATGACTTTCTAGCCTGTCTGCTGGTTGTTGAATTCAAAGCACAGTGGTCTTTATATTTATTTAAATAACAAATATTTAACCAATCACTGTTGCTAACTAAAAAATTTGTAATTAAGAGGAAAACTTTAAATCTATTTTAAAAGTCCATTGCAAAATCATATGATCTCAATTTGTTTTTTAAAAGTTGCATATACGTCTCTTCATGGGTATATACGAAGATAAAAAGGCTGGAAGAAAATAATCTAACTTGTTAATCGTATTTATCTCTGAGTGCTGGAGTTACAAGGGTACTTAATTTTCTCCTCTTATAATTAAAAAAGAAATAAAATCATTTAAAAGAAAGCAATGAATGAGACAGCTTATTTTCCTCTTTCAATTATTTCTGGAAAAAAGTGTTTAAAAATCACAGCAGATGACATACCCATTGCATTTATTTTATTAATAAATATGCTAAAATAATCAGCTTTGGTTTCATTTTCTAGATAGCGGTGGCCAGTATTAAGACAGGTATCATTATGTGGTGTATGAACATAGCGGCTTAACCTTGGACAGCCTGCTTTATCTCATAGAAAAAGCTCTGGATGGGCAGAAGGTACAAAGTATGGGGATATTTAGTGATGGAGACAGCAGAGAAATCAATTTACTCCAAGGTAAGCTTCGAGATTGGAAACAACCAACTTTACACCAATGCCACATTTGTCCACGTGTATGAACTTCAGAGCACTATTTAAATTTCAGTTTGCGGGATCCCTGGGTGGCGCAGCGGTTTAGCACCTGCCTTTGGCCCAGGGCGCGATCCTGGAGACCCGGGATCGAATCCCACGTCGGGCTCCCGGTGCATGGAGCCTGCTTCTCCCTCTGCCTGTGTCTCTGCCTCTCTCTCTCTTTGTGACTATCATAAATAAATAAAAATTAAAAAAAAATTAAAAAAAAAATAAATAAATTTCAGTTTGCTAATAGAGTTGATATCCTAGTTCAAAGCAATCATACAGGAGGTGTTCCCTCTTATTCAAGGGAGGATCAGTCTTTTTGTTCTGTTCAGACCTTCAACTGATTGGAGGAGGCCCACCCACACTGGGAAGAACAATCTGCTTTACTCAGTCTGCCTATTCAAACATTAATTCCCAAACACTCTCACAGACACATCCAAAATTATATTTGACCAAATATCTGGGCACCCCTAACTCAGTCAAGTTGACATGTAAAATCAATCATCACACCATTAAATAAGAACTTCCCTCTTCCCTCTTATTCCAGCCCCTAGGAACTACCATTCTACTTTCTCTTCCTGTGAAATTGACTACTTTACATACCTCATATAAGTGAAATAATGCAGTATTTAACTTTGTGACTGGCTTATTTTACTTAACATTATGTCCTTAAGTTTTTTTTTTTTAATTTATTTATGATAGTCACACAGAGAGAGAGAGAGAGAGGCAGAGACACAGGCAGAGAGAGAAGCAGGCTCCATGCACTGGGAGCCCGACATGGGATTCGATCCCGGGTCTCCAGGATCGCGCCCTGGGCCAAAGGCAGGCGCCAAACCGCTGCACCACCCAGGGATCCCAATGTCCTTAAGTTTAATCCATGTTGTAGCTTATGACAGGATTTCCTTTACTTTTTAAAGCTGAATAATATTCCATCATTTCTATAGACTACATTTTATCCTTTCATTTGCTGATGGACATTTAGGTTGCTTCCACTTCTTGGCTATTGTGAATAGCACTGTTATGAACATGAGTGTGGATATCCCTTTAAGATTCTACTTTAAATTCCTTTGGATATATATCCACAAGTGGGGTTGCAGAATCACATGGTAATTTATTTTTAATTTTTTGAGGAATGTCCACAATATTTTCCATAGTGGCTGCACCATTTTGTGCTCCCACTAATGGTGCACAGGGGCTCCAATTTCTTCACATCCTTGTCAAAACTTGTTATTTTCTGTGTTTTTGTTTGTTTTTAGTTGATAGTAACTATCTTAATGGGTTTAAGGTGATATTCATTATGGCTTTGATTTGCATTTGTCTACTAATTAGTGATATTGAGAATTTTTTCATATGCTTATCAGCTATTTGTGTATCTTCTTTACATATATCTAATGAAGTCCTTTGCCCATTTTCTGATGGGTTTATTTGACATTCTTTATTGAGGTATAGACATTCTTTATATGGTCTAGATATTAATCTTTTATCAGATACACTATTTGCAAATATTTTCTCTCATTCTCTATGCTGTCTTTTACTCTAATTATGTTCTTCACAAAAGTTTTTAAGTTTGGTGAAAGTGTAGCAATTATAATAGCAGCAAAACCCAAGATCTATAAATTGGTATGCATGAACAGCAGTCATTGTACTTCCAAATGGCTTATACCACAAAGGAAAGGATTGACTGATATCATTAACTTGTATGGATCATCTTTTTAAAATGTCAATGGTTATCCTTCTCTGAGAGAAGGAGATGAATGTTTTAGAATTAAAGTTTCAGTTTCTTCCTTATACTATAACTTACATCTTTCCTTGTTAACCTAAAATAGAATGGTTTTAAGATTTACTAGTGTGAAATCTTCCATCTTTGTGAGATGAGGGAAGAAAGAGAATGAGATGGTCAAGGGTCCAGCTGGCAGGGAACTCATAAAATGGCAAAGTGGGTACCTGAATCACCCATCAAACTACTGCCTCTATGGCTATGTTACCCAGTGATCTATCCCAGCTGCTAACTCAGGAAATGAGCAGGGAAGCCCTGGTGCTCTGCGGAGGGCAACTGCTCCATCTGGGGGAATTTCAAGAGGGCTGTAAAATGGATAGCAGAGCTCCTGGCTGGGTTTGTCAACACTGTGGCTGAATAAACTTGGATAAATTCAGTGGCAAGAGAAGCCAATCACTCAAGAGATAGGGTTTGGAAAAAAGAAAGGAAGAAATTTATTTTGGGTGCCAGTAACCAGGGGAGGTGACAGGCTTATGCCTTAACAACTGACCTCTCCACCTGTGAGATGGACACTGGACTTTTATAGAAACAGGTTCAGAAATGCCTAGGTGGCTCAGCGGTTAAGCATCTGCCTTCAGCTCAGGGCGTGATCCTGGAGTTTCGGGATTGAGTCGACTCCCTGCATGGAGCCTGCTTCTCCCTCTGCCTGTGTCTCTGCCTCTCTCTCTCTCTCTCTCTCTCTCTCTCTCTCTGTGTGTGTGTGTGTTTCTCATGAAGAAAGAAAGAGAGAAAGAAAGAAAGAAAGAAAAGAAGAAAGAAAAAGAAAGAAAGAAAGAAAGAAAGGAAGAAGGAAGAAAGAAGAAGAAAGGAAAGGAAGAAAGAAAGAAAGAAAGAAAGAAAGAAAGAAAGAAAGAAAGAAAGAAAGAAAAGAAAGAAACAGGTTGTGGGGTACATGCAAGGGAGCAGGCAGGGAGCACGTGATCATGAGAGGGGGCCAGTATGTGTTCAGCCTACAATCACAGTCAGGGAAGGAGACACGTGGGGTGTGGTCTTCTAGGCATTTCATTGCTATCAGGGCTTTTCTGGTTTGATTGGAATGTTCCAATCATTGCAAAAATGTCTTTTCGATGCCTCAAGGAGGTGCGGTAAGAAATAGGTATGATGGGTTTTATTTGAAACATGAATTAATCAGTCTTGTCTATTTCTGGGTTTTGTTTGTTTGTTTTTCTATTTCTGGTTTTAACTGTTGGGCTCTATAGTTGGGCTTGCTAACAGCTAGAACTTGGCATGCTTGGAATAGGTTTGATAAATTTTATTAACAAAAATAAACTACTTCTGGTTTATCTTTACTTATTTTTGTCTTTCCTTGTTTAGTTGACCTATGTATGGAATAAGTTGTGTTCCACATCTAATTTTATATCCCCCCCTGGAAGTACAGCACAGCTACTACTTAGGGTTTACATTTATGAGTAATTACATGGTAGCTTTTCTCTAAATGATGGAGAGGTATCAATTGAAATTTATACTGTGGTTTAGTAGGTTTACCTCTTACAGAGTAAAAGGACCTATTAAAGTTTTCTAGCATCTCAGACTTTATGTTGTGCAGGTGAGAAGGATTTTCAAACTCTGCCTTTTCCACGTTTTCTTATTTATTTACTTATTTGAGAGGGAGGAAGGAGAGAAAGAGATAGAGAGGAGGGGCAGAGGCAGAGGGGAGGGGGGGAGAATGTGGGAGAGGGAGAGAAAAAAGAGAGAGAAAGAGAGAGAGAGAGAGAATCATGACCCTGAGATCATGACCTGAACAGAAATCAAGAGTTGGATGCTTAACTGACTGAGCCACCCAGGTGCCCCACCTTGTTTTCTTTTTTAAAACCAATACTAACATAACAAAATATCTGAAAACTAAAGTTTCTTTCTATATAATTGTGGTGTTTCCCCAAGAGCTTTTGCCTTAAAATTAAGAACAAAATGAGATCTCTTACTCCATTCAATTGAAGAGGTCCTTCCATTCTGTATCTAGATTTCTTGATGGAAAGAAGTGAAATGTTGGGATTCTTCCCTGACTTTGTTTTCATTCCCTTACCGGGATTTAAGAATTCAGAATCTCCAGGACTCCTTTAGAAATGGGTCGAGACACATGCAGATTCATTGAATCATCATCCAGAATTCCCAGCAAGTGAGAGTGTCAGGGATGTTTACCATCTCTGAGAGCCTTCTATTCTGAATGACTTATTTTTTGATTGACACCTTACTTTGGACCTTGGTTGCAAAAATCCCAGGACTTGACTGGCCATTTACCCTAAACCCTGCTGGGAGCCTGGCAATGCACCCTGCTGCACAGTAATGGCAGAGAGATAATGTCCTAAATCTAAATGTGCCGTTTCCAATAAACCCAAAATGTGAAGGAGATTATGGTCACGTCGGAGTCCTCCTGTGGCCCTGATATGGTGCACCACTGAAGCAGAGGCTCCCTCCAGATCTGAGGCCTCCAGCAGTCACTGGCTTTTTGAATTGTGATTGCATTTTCACAGAGTGCTAAGAGTTTCTGTTCATGATAATGTTATAAACTAATATGACATTTTGAGTTCTTCCTCAGGTTATAAAATTGGTATTAAAAATTTACTGAGGCCTGAAGTGAGAGACTTCTGGGAGAAGTCAGGAAGCTATGTGGCCCCTGAAGAAGAAGGGGGTCATGTGGACCTCTTTGTACCACTTGGAGCATCAGGTCAGTTTTAAAAGGCAGTGGTCAATAAATAAATAAATAAATGGCAGTGGTCATGGCCTTCCATAGTAATATGTTGTGAATATTTGAAATGCCTTCAATTCAAATGATTCAGTCACATTTTACTCCTTCTTTCTCTCTCACACCTCACATACTCAGGTATTTAGGGGGCAAAGACCTGAGGTTAATGGTCAGAGTAACCTGTCCCTGCAGAATGAAGTCACTAGTGGCAAGAGCCAGCCAGGAATACTACCAGTATCTCTTCTGGAAAATACAGTAAAATCAGCCTCCTCTATAGAGGGGGAAATGCTGAAACCATAATCAGTTGGTCTGAGAAAAGTCTCCCTGCTATGTTCTGAACCTGGAAGGAGTGAGCATGAACTTGTGAGCAAGGACCTTGGACTTGAATCCCACTCACACCACTTTAGCCATGTGGCCTTGGGCAAGTTTGTAAACCTCTGTTTCCTCATAAGGATAATAGTACTTTACCTGACAGGTCTTGTGAATATCAAAATAATGTAAATAGTTACAATAACTGTATTTATAAAAATACTTACAATAAAAATAAATAATAGAAATGTTTAAATAATATTTGAATATTAAACCCAAATGAAGTGCTTGCTAAAAATGAGACTGATTGCTGATCCTGGAGGTTGCTGATAGAATTTTAGGTGCCCATCTGTCTCATATCAGTCATTATAATTCAAAGTTGATTTTAACATGAAGAGAAACTTTAGAAACATTAGGACAAATTCACTTTTTAGACAGCTATTAAATAAAAGCTCTACACTCATGGGCCTTTTTTCTTTTTTTTTTTTTAATGCCAAGCAGAGCAAGGCAGAGGGAGTATATAATTAAATTTTCTCAACGTTTCTTATTACCCATTCCTTAGGGAACTCTGACCTTTTTTTTTAAATTTATTTATTTATGATAGTCACACACACACACACAGAGAGAGAGAGAGAGAGAGAGAGAGGCAGAGGGAGAAGCAGGCTCCATGCACCGGGAGCCCGACGTGGGATTCGATCCCAGGTCTCCAGGATTGCGCCCTGGGCCAAAGGCAGGCGCTAAACCGCTGTGCCACCCAGGGATCCCAGAACTCTGACTTTTTTTTTGGAACTCTGACTTTTAAAGTTCCTTCTAATCCTCAGATTTCACTGAACTATTCATACATGCCAAGTATGCTCCTGACAGGCTTCAACTGAGGTAAAGGGAAAAACAAAAGGATGGAAAGGGGTTTAAAAGAAAACGAATTACAAAATACTGTAATTTTTTTACATAGTTATAATTGTGTAATCTTAACTGTAGAAACTACACCTAGAAAAATCTAGGAGGAAGTATAACAAAATTATTAACAGCATTTATCTCCAGATGGGTTTTGCAGCTTTTCTGCTTTTGAATACGGATGGTGTGATTCCTTGTTTAAAACCTGTGTGTGTGTGTGGTGTGTGTGTGTGTGTGTGGAAGGGTAGCAGTGTACAGAAAAGGGTTTGGAAGGATGTATACCAAGGTGTTAACAATAGTTAGATAGATACGTGACTTTTCTTTCCTTTTATTAAAAATCTCTTATCTGTCCCTATTTTCTGTAATGGACTAGTATTACTTTTATAATAAGAGCATTTTTAAAAAAGATTTTAAGTAATCTTTACACCCAACACGGGGATCCAACTTACAACTCGAAGATTAAGAGTTGCATGCTTCACCAACTGAGACAGTCAGGTGCCCTGCAAAGCAAATTTTTAAACTGGAGTAAAAGAGAGGATTTGAGAAAGTAAGGCATTGAAAGGTGACCTTGAAAGAGATTGAGAATAAGGGCAAAAGGAGGAAAGAACAATAAATTTGGTGACAAAAAATTGTCTCCAGTGAAACTTAATGGTAACCCAACGGTAAATCTCTCACCACCATCATGGCCCCCAAATCATCCCTGAACTCCTCGTCAAGTGTAATTTCCACCTGGACAAGCCATCAAGACCCTGATTCAGTGAAAAGACCTTGGCTTCTCAGTCCAAAAGTCTCTTTTGTGCCACCTCACACATCACTCCGGAGCTTGTCACCCCCAGTAGCTGTGTAGCCTCCAGCATTTTTCTCTCTGAGTACCACTTCCAAATTAGGTACTAAATAATCCAAACATCCATGTTCCAAACATTTCTACTCTATCAGCTCTTTGCCTTTTTTTTTTTAATTTATTTTATTTTATTTTATTTTTTTTTAGCACTTTGCCTTAAGACCACCAACGCACACGCTCCCACTTTTTCACCCTGTTACCGCGCCTTCATCCTCGGTTCCATCCTTGTGAAATTTGGATTTAAAGGTTCATTATTGTCATTACTCTCTTGCAAAGAATCTGAACTTCTTTGTTTCTCTTTCTTGGGCTAAATTTCTGTGCTCCTTAAACGCCATCATCTGTATAATCTATGCCTGCCTGCCCTAAAGCAGTTAAAGCCTGTTGAAAACAGTACTACAGCTATTCTTAGTAATCTACCTTGACTTTGATGGCAAAAATATCAATGGGATTGCAGCACTGAGAAGCGGTCCTACCACCTTCTGTTGGTAAATTCCTTTCCCCACTCTTTGAGATGACTGTGTATCATCCCTTCTCCTCCTTGTCGATCTTTCACGAACCTCTCTCAGCTGTTGACCTCACCTTTTACTGCCCTGAGAAAACTCCCACATTTCCCTCCCACCACCAAATCCACCACCTACTCCACCTCTTACCTTCATTCTCTGTCTTCCCTTCTGTCACAATGGAAGAAACACCTCCATTCAAATCAGAGATCAAGCACTGACTTGAACTCTGTGTACCACTTCCTTTCACCTCCTCACCGCCACATTCTCACAATCCTCTCCAACAGCCTCAATTCCTCCTTCTTTACTGAGTCATCCCTATCAAATCAGGATGCTACCTGTAGTAGCAGCTCCTGTGCTTAAAAAAAGAGAGAAAGAGACCATGAACTTTCCCTCATTTCTATATACTTACCTATATACACCTACATGCTGACTAAACTAATGATTCTCAAATGTTAATATGTATTTTAATCACCTAGAAAGTTTATTAAAGTACACACTGCTGGGTCTCATCCTAGCATTTCTTACTCAGTAGTTGTGGCATGGGGCCTGAGAATTTGCATTTCTAACAAGTTCCCAGGTGCTGCTGCTCCAAGGCATGCTTGGGGAACCACTGGTTTATGCTGACAACTTTACCTTCCTCACCCCTCACTCACTCCTCAAGCTCTTCCAAATGGTCTCTTTCTCTCTACTATCGTTGCCTGTGGGAGACTCTAAGCACTTCCACATGCCCAAATCCAATGGTCCTTCTTCCATGCTTACCTTGCTCTGACCTCAGCAGCATTTCATGCAGATAGACACTGCTCCTGGAAGCTCATCTTCTTCTCTGGATTTCCCTAACACCACCCTCTCCCAGAATTGCCTCCTTAGGCCAGTGGGCTCTTCTCCATTTCCTTTGCTGGCTCCTCCTCCTCTGAAAATTCTTCAACCTTTCCACAACCACACTCTTTGCATAGGCAACCTCATCCAGTCCCGCTCTGAATCTGATCTATGAACTCAAGACTCCCAAATGTATGCTTCTGGCTCTGAGATCTCTGAGCTGAGACTCACAGTTAGCTCCTACCTGACATCTACTTAAGAATGTTGGGTTTGTGCATCTAGGAGGCATCTCAGAGTTAATGCATCTAAAACTTTTATTTGCCTCCCTAGCACCAAACCAACCCCTTCCCTAGGATTCCTCAATTAAGATAACATTCACCCAGTTACTTCATAAGCCAAAAACCTAAAATTTGTTTTTTGGGGACATTATTTGAAAATTTTAAAGGGCTGCCAGGGTGGCTCAGATGGTTAAGCACCCAATTCTTGGTTTTGGCTCAGGTCATGATCCCAAGGTTGTGAGATTGATTCCACACTGCCAGGCTACATGCTCAGCAGGGAGTCTGCTTGAGACTGTCTCTCCCTCTCTCTCCCTCTCTCTCTCTCTCTCTCTCTCTCTCTGCCCCTCCCTCCACCTGCTCACTCTCTAAAATAAGTAATAAAATAAATAAAGTCTTAAAAAGTTTTTTCAAGCAGCTTTACAAAGGTATAAATGACATACAATAAACTATAGATGTTTAAAGCATGCACTTGGATAAGTTTTATTTTTTTAGATTTTTATTCATTTATTCATGAGACACACATAGAAAGAGAGAAAGAGAGAGGCAGAGAGAGAAGAAGGCTCCATGCAGAGAGCCCGATATGGGACTCCATCCCAGGTCTCCAGGATCATGCCCTGGGCTGAAGGCGGCACCAAACCACTGAGCCACCTGGGCTGCCCACACTTGGATAAGTTTTGACATAGGTCTACATATCCTGTGAAACCATAAAATAATCAAGATAATGAACATATTCACTACCTCCCAAATTTTCCTCATGCCACTGTAGTTTTTCCCTCCTGCTTCTCCCCACCCACATCCTGAATCAAACACTGATCTACTTTCTTTCACAATGTATTAGTTTGTATTTTATGGAATTTTCTATAAATGGAATCATACACTGTGCATTCTTTGTCAAGCTTCTTTCACTCAGAAGAATTATTTTAGATTCATCTGTTTGATGCCTGTATCAACAGCTCATTGGTTTTTTTTATTGCTGGGAATTATTACATTCTATGTATATACCACAATTTGTTTATTCAGTCACTTGTTGATAGATATTTGAGTTATTTCCAGTTCCTGGGTCTTATGCATAAATTTGCTATGAACATATGTGTGAACATATGCTCTTACTTCTCTTGGATAAATACCTAGGAGTAAAATGGTTGGGTCAGATGACAGGTGTTAACTTTTTTAAACAATGGCTAAACTATTTTCCAAAGTGGTTTTACAATTTTACATTTCCACTAGCAATGTATGAGAACTCTAGTTGCATAGTACCCCCACACTGGGTACATAGTCTTCTTAATTTTAGCCCTTTGAGTGGATATGCAGTAATATCTCATTGTGGCTTTAATTTGCATTTTCCTAATGACTGATGATGCTGAACATCTTTTCATGTGCTTATTTGCCATTCATTGGTCTTCCTTGGTGCAATGTCTGTTCAAGTCTTTTGCTCATTTTAAAAATTAGCCCATCTTGACGGGATGAGCACTGGGTATTATTCTGTATGTTGGTAAATGGAACACCAATAAAAATTAATTTATTAAAAAAATTAGCCCATTTATTTTCTTATTGAAAACTTTATATATTCTAGAAAAATAACTTACAAATATTTTCTCCCACTCTGTGACTTATGTTTCCTCTAAATAGTCCGTTTTGAAGAGATGAAGTTCTTAATTTTTGTGAAGTCAAATATATCTATTTTTTTCTTCTATGGATTATGCTTTCAGTGTCATATCTGAAAACTCTCTACCTAACTAAAGTTCACAAGATTTCTTTATTTGAGAAATAAATAATTCCTTTTCTTTTTAAAGATTTTATTTATTTATTCATGAGGAACAGAGAAAGAGAGAGGTAGAAACATAGGCAGAGGGAGAAGCAGACTCCATGCAGGGAGCCCGATGTAGGACTTGATCCCAGACCTTAGGATTGCACCCTGAGCTGAAGGCAGACACTCAACCTCTGAGCCACCCAGGCATCCCTTAGAAATAAATAATTTCTAAATTATTTATAGTTTGACTTTTAGATTTCTGATGCATTGATTTATATGCTTGTTTTATATAGCATTAGAATATGAGTTGCAGTTTTGTGGGATTTCTTATGTATGGATATCTAACTTTTCCAACACCATTCCTTATAAAGACTGTCCTTTTCTCAGGGCATTCCATTTGCATCTTTGTTGAAATCAATCGACTACATATATGTAGGTATACCTATGGACATCATTCAATTTCATTGATCCATTTGCCAGTTAAAAGATTAGACCCTCGTAAATGAGAGACATCCCACCTTTCTTTCATCTACTGCCACCTTGTTCCACACAATTTGGAGTAATTGTTTATTCTTAGGCCAGAAAGAATTAAAATACATAACCCAATATCTTAGTTTCACTCAAAGTAATTCATTCTATATCCTGAATTCAATCCTGAATTCTATATCCTGAATTCAATCTTTATGCTGTGTCCCTGAAGAAGGGATGAAATTAATGCCACACTAAATTTTGACCTCTTGTTTAACAGTTTCAACCGTTTTAAATCTCTCCTCTTATAATAAGATTTCTCCTTTGAGTCAGACTATTTTAGAAAATATAAGTAGGGATGCCTGGATAGCTCAGTGGTTGAGTGTCTGCCTTTGGCTTAGGCGTGATCCCAGGGTCCTGGGATGGAGTGCCGCAACAGTCCCCTGCATGGAGCCTGCTTCTCCCTCTGCCTATGTCTCTGCCTCTCTCTTTGTGTCTCTCATGAATAAATAAATAAAATCCTTAAGAAGAAAAGAAAAGATATGTAAACTCTTCAGTCCTTTGGCCTGAGTATTCCACCTTGAAAAATAAGCACCAGGTCCACCTTCATGCCCTGTCTCTCCAGCAATTCAGTCCTCATCAATTGTTTGGACTTAGGCATTGAGGGGCAAGCTATAAAGTGTTTCATGAGGGATTTGAATTGAAGATGAGAAATCCTAGCAGCCATTCCTAGCCAGCTTAGCACTCCTAAGTAATACTTAAATGTTCCAAGGCAAAACCTATGAGTAAGCTAATGAAAGTATTTTTCACTCTGCAGAGGCAGGAATAGAAGTTCTTTCCCAGCTGTCTCAGCTAACTGGCACGTTCTTTACTGCCCCAACGGGAATTGCAACAGGCTCTTACCAACACAGTAAGTGTATATGGGGACTGAGCACGGTGCCCAGTGACATCTGCCAACTCCTAGGTCACCAAAAGACAAAGCACAGCTAATAATAATAAGCCTTCTGGCCCATGTCACTTACTGCCTTCCATTCCTTCTCTAAAGGAATGCTGTCACTACCCAAACTGTGTCATTTCCCACTGCCCACTGTCATTTCATTTGCTTAGAAAGGGATTATTTATTGCAAATATTTGCTTCAAACCATGATGTACACAAACTCTGTTGAAAACATCATTTTTAATAGTTACAGATGTATAGTTGCTGGTCTAGAGGAATAGTAAGTACAAAGAATAATTTTTCTTAGGGAGATATGATCAATATGGTTTCATTTGGAAATGAGAATCACAGCTATAAAGAGATGGTGAAGGGGCTTGCTCAGGTTCCAATTCAATTGCATTATCTGAGAGGAAACACAAAGATAAAATATAGAGCTGACAGCAAAGTTTCATTTAGAAATTGAAGCTGCAAATATTAAATGCAGATGTAACACTGGCTGACCAACAAGAGATCCACATTGCTCTGCTAAAGTGGCAGGGACAATTCTCCCTTTAAAACTCCCTGGCCTCCTATTACACGGGGTTTGGGGCCACATAGAAACCATATAAAGCATGGTGTCTCTAATGCCAAATGTCAAGGGAGTTTCAAGCCTGGGGGAACTGGCATGACTGGAAACCTGTAAGGGAAAAGAGTCCATGTATCTACGAAAAGAGCATTGACCTGATAGCAGAAGTCACTTGTTTATTGTAGTTATATAGTCACATTACTAAGTGATAGCTCAATGGGCCTTGTGCAGAGAGGATGGCAGCCTTGCGGGGTGGAGCTCAGTGCAAACACTGTTCTGGATGGAGCAGCCTTCTTCCTTTACCCCTCTGTCTTCTCTTCCTTCTGTTCACCTTCCTTTTCCCTCTCTTCTTCATAGTTTTCTTCAGGAAAAACACATTAGAAAGAGTTGTACATGTTTATCAACAAAAATGAGGGAAGGTGAATCAAATGAGACTGTCTATCCAGTGAGGACAGAAAGAAAGATTTAACATGCCACAGCATCATTTAGTAATTGATGTTCCAACGAGAGAGCTTCCTTAAGCACCCACTACAGTCATGTAGAGATGTTCAGAGAGAGAGAGAGCAGCTGGATGTGAAGTAAGAAAGCCACAGGGCCAGCTAGCCCAAGATGACTTTGGACAACATGGTGGGGAAACTGGGCAGAGTGGGGTTGTCTTGTATGTTCATTTTGGGATGTAAAGAAAAAGCAGCACCTTCTTGCCTACTCTGCTTCCTGATATACAAATCCAGAAGCTACTTAATTTTTATTTCAAATATAATATGTCAACCCTATCTATCAAAGAAGAGATAGGCAATTGAAATTATTCACTGTGTCCTTCCTGAGCTTCGAATTTTACCTTGGAAAGCAGACAATGGGTGTTTATCTTAGTCTTCTAATGAGAAAGGATAACATGCCTACTATAAACACAACTAAGTTTTTGTTGTACCATAAACATGAAGGATTCTTTCATCTGAGCTCCAGCCCACAATAATAAAAGGAGAAAATAATGTCAGTTCTCAGTGATTGGCTGGGACGACCGGAAAGGGCTCCATGTTCCGTCTACTTCAGCGAAGCAAAGCTGTTCACGTGGTCCCGTGTCACAGACTTTCTGGAAGACACCTTGAAATCAGTAAGGAAGCAGTTGAGTCCTCTCTTCAAGGAGTTGCAGAAGAATATTAGTGCCAGGATAATAGGTAAGAACTCGTGCTGCTTCTGTTGCAGGTTCATCACGAAGGTGGTTCCGGATCTAGAGTGGATAATACAAGGTTAGGAAGCAAAAGTCTTTTATACCTGTTTAGTAAAACTTTATTTCCTTTGTTTTTCATATCTCCTTTCAAATGTAGTGAATATCGACTGAGAGCAAAAATATTCATCTTCAAAATGGGGAAGCTAGTTCATTTTAAATAGGACCGTCTTAATGCCATGCCAGTCAGTTGTTAACCTGGACCAAACTCTGAGGGTTTGCTAACCCAGAGGGCTGTGCCCCTTTTCCCACCACAATTTGCTCTAAAAGTTCAGGTATTCCTAGACACAACTCCCATTACTTAAATTGTTCTACAATGATGTTTTGTGTATTTTCCATATAAAATACTCGATTTGGTGATGGGCTCTATGGTCCTCTGTTGAGCCTGTTGGACATAACCGAATTTATCATCCCATTTGCACTCCCTACTCATGACTGATTTATCACACTAGAGTCTTGGAAACCATATTCTGTGTCAACCAGATCTTCCCCTAAATCAGTCCATTCATTATAATGAAGTTTTTTTTGTTTTGTTTATTTATCATCTGCGCTAAGGACCCCCCATTTTTATTACCTATTCAATTTATCCTTAACTTTTCCCATCTGACTAAAATGCCCTCAAAATCAAGTCATTAATAGTTATGCCTCGCTTCCTTCTTCTCTCCCTGCCCTACTTATTATTAAGGTCCTATTGCCACAATTTCTGTCTACACAAGAGCTATAGCACACAAGTATGCATGGATATATATATATATATTTTTTTTTGCATGGATATATTTTGTGTCAATTTATGTTCTGCATTGCTTTACATAAATGCCTCCAAAACAGGGAGTTGTCTTCATGGTTTGATATACTATCCACTTGACCACATTTAGCAGATGTTCAACCAATATTTAAAAATGGTCATAAGAGTATAAATCGGGAGACATTATTTCTCCTGTTTTTGTTTTTGTTTTTGTTTTTTTTTTTCATAGATACCAAGGACCAAAGAGAAAAGCAGGGAAAATTAGCTTTTTCAAGATAGAAGTATTTTTTTTAAGGAATTCTTTTTTCCTTTTCTATTTTTATTTTTTTTAAGATTTTATTTATTCAGGAGAAACACAGAGAGGAGAGAGAGAGAGAGGCAGAGACACACAGGCAGAGGGAGAAGCAGGCTCCATGCAGGGACCCCGACGTGGGACTCGGTCCCAGGCCTCCAGGATCAGGCCCTGGGCCAAAGGCAGTGCTAAACTGCTGAGCCACCCAGGCTGCCCGATAGAAGTATTTTTTTGATGATATTTATTTGTAAGCTATGAGAATTTAAATGGAATAAAATTATTTGCATATAAATGCACATTGTTCAAAATATTAAATAACTATAAAAGATGTCTGTGTAACTACAGATGTATATTATTTGCTGTAGACTTAAAGTATTTATGTACTTGAGCACAAACACACGGGGAGGGAGGAGGAAGTTTTGGTGGGATTGAGAATCTAAAATTTAAACTTAAAAGGTTTATGTTCACATCTTCTCTCCTTATTGTCCAATTTATAGATTCTATTTAATATCAGCCTTACCAGGGTAGGTACTTTTGAATATGTTTTACATTTAGTTACTCTTGCTCAATTTATATTTTATCATGGTGGATAATTCCCATGGCATAATAGAATTTTAATTTTTATTCTTCACATTTTTTATCTACTAAAAAGCAACTGTGAGGACTGAGTTGTTTTCTTCTTGATCACATCTCCTACATAAATTAATTACGAGGCATATGGCTTTATATATTTACAGGGCAATTTACTTTTGACAACATGAATATGGCTAACATTCTGGATAACCAAGAAATTTCACAAGCTCTGGCTGATGGATTGATGGAACTTTCAAAAGATAATTCTGTAAGTGTTTTTTTGAAGAACATAAACTTTAAATACCCAACACTTAAATACATTTTTAGTTTGCTCTTATTTGTGTGTGTGTATGTGGGGGGGTACTCCTTTGGAGGCACAATTTCCCTGAGAAATTACATCAGGTCAGCCACTGAGAAATTCTGGGCCCAAGATGTATTAGATGTAGGAAATAGACAAGTGGGAACATCTTCTAGGTTATTTAAAACTTCATTACACTGTGCATTGTTTTCTGTCTTGTGATTAATTTCAGTCAGAAGTGACTTCTTTAAACAACATGTTAGTGGCTTTATGTTTCACATAAACATTACTCAACAATTTAAACAATTAATAGTATGATAGGAAAACCAAGAAAGCATGAAATCAGATGGAAAAAGATGAAAGGCAAAGAAGGCTGGCTGAGAGGGGAAGAGAAAGAGAACGCGAAAGAAAAGGAATAAATAAATCAATAGTTTGGTTGGGGGCAGGCATGGGGAAAGTGTGAAGAAGCATTTTTATCAGAAACCAATCTTGGCTACTCTCCCAGAAAAGTCAGTCCACGCATCAGGAAATAGGAGAGTTTACAGGACCCCTGTCTGCCTCGAGACAATGGCGAGGCTCTAGGACCAGGAGCTATGCAGCTGTGGGCTGGGGAAATTGAGAGCAGGACAGGAGTGGGGGGTATTAACATACTGATGCTATATATACAAGGTCTTTAGTTCTCCACGAAAGATTCTCAATCCTTCTCTTCTTCTATAGCAGTTCTACTCTGTGGGCAAACTTAACATCGCCTTTGTACGTGGGTCTGCCCTGGTTTCAAGTTGGCTGCCTGGGTCAGCAGCAGGCATCTCCAGAGTCAGCCGTGCAGAGTGTGGAGTCTGAGAAGCTGCAGTTAGCCACAATTTGTCTTCTCTGAAGACCCAGCTTCTCACTTTCTAGCTACCCATTGGCAGCCCACCAAGTACAGCCTCCCCTACCCCCTGGGTGGCAGGGGGGCTTTGCTGATACATTGATTAGGGATGTTCACAGGGATGACCCTGAGGTCTTAGAAGATCTTGCCCTGTCTCCTGAAAGACTAAAGAATTACTAAACGTGTTTACTCTAATTTCAGTGTCCTTACTGCCAAACGAATTATTTTAAAATCATCTTGTATGATGTAATTTCATGGGTGCTCACACTGGTAGCCTGAGAGGGAACAGGATGTGGAGGTGTCCTAGTCTGTTGTGCCTGGTCATCCTGCTGCTACATCCCTCATCCCCCCAGAGACAGCAGGGCTCCTGTTTCCCGAGTGGCCTTGGTGCTGACCTGGGCCACCTTGGGCCACATGGTTCCAAAGATCTTGAGACCCTCCTGCAAGACCTTGACATCCTAACTGGATTGTGACAATAAGAGAATCGGGAATAACTACAACCCATTTTTAGACTTTAATCGAATAATACTTTGCTTTCTAGCCTCTTAATTAGATAGAAAGAAGACGACACTACCAAAAATATGTTCTTTCCTGCTGCACTTGTATTGGTCCGTATTCCAGATGAATGTTTTAATCAGAAATTATCTCTTTTTTTCTTTTGGTGTTGGGGGGGTGGATTTTTTTAGAACAAACCTATGGAATTTTTGTCAGATTTTCTGCTGAAGAAATGTGGTAAAGGGAGCCAGGATCTTGAAGAAAATGTTATTCCGACAAAATGTGACCCAAAGGCAGCGTTCAGTTTACTCCCAAAGGTAAAGTTATTGCTGCAATTTTAAGCCATTATTTCCCTGTATATTAGACACATTGGTTAAGAAATCCATAAACAATAAGGGTAATTCTACTTGGAAAGCTTTCAACTTGTCATTTCCCCTAAGAACTTCCCTTTCATGGATTATTATTTAAAAAGGTGTTTTGTAGTTTCATAACAAGAGTGACATTTAAGCCCCTTGAAAGCGGAAGGCACACACATCGACCGGAGTGGCACCGTCCAGGCACAGGAGAAGAGTCAGCAGTTTGCATCATGCAGCTCACCCAGTGGAGTCCTGGGACAGACTAAAGAGAAACTGTTTTCATTTGCAGCCCAGGACACTTTTTTGGTGAAACTAGGACACACTGGGGCTGCCCACAGTCATTGCTTTGAGGTAGATAAAGTCTGCACAGAAGCAGAAGATGTGGCATGACTGGTGCCTATTAGCAGGATGTGCAGGAGGGGGCGGGAACACCAAAATGAGTATCCAGATTTCTCTTCTGCTTTTCAGAGGCCTTTTGACTTATTATAGCAGCTATTATCCTCTGAGATTCTTGGGTTTTAGTCTCCCCAAAAGGTGGATGTTATCTCCATCCATCCTTCAGCCTTTGGAAAGCCTTTGAACAACAGCTCTCAGGATTCTAGTACCACTCACTTTCCCTTGCTTCACTAAAGAGGATGCTCAACATGCAAGCACATCACGTGGGTTCCAAATTCTTCCAAGGCCCTTACAACATCTGCATCATCCTCGACCTGTGGAAACATCACTGGAGTTCTTCCACCCACTGTTCTTCCTGAGAACAAAGCTGTCACCCCCAAGGCCAGACATACAGACTCCAGAAATGTTCATCTTTGAAGCAAGAAAACTTGAAGGAAGTGATGGGGACAAAATGACCAATGCTTCCTTCTCTAAAGTGTTTCTTTTTTAAAGATTTATTTATTTATTTATTTATTTATTTATTTATTTATTTATTTATTTATGACAGAGAGCATGAAGCGGGGCAAGGGCAGAGGAAGAGGGAGAAGCAGGCTTCCCGCTGAGCAGGGAGCCCGATTTGGGGCTCAATCTGGGATTCTGGGATCATGACTTGAGCCTAAGGCAGATGCTTACCCAACTGGGCCACCCAGGCACCCCCTGAAGTGTTTATTTTACATTTGAAAGATGTGACAATAGATAAGAACCATCTCTGGAAACTCTAACACCTACATGAATGGTCACTTGGAGCATTTCCTCACAGGCACAGAAATGAAAAGTAATTGCTTCTGAGAGAATTGTTTTAAAGACCCTTCCATAGGGAATTCTGTAAGAGGGATTTGGATGTGCCTGCCAAATCCAGGACCAGACACACACACATGGAGCTATGTGTGAAGGCAAGACCAGACAGGGGATACCTTCCACCCAGAAGGCCCAGACTCTGCCCAGATAGATGTATATGTGTACGTGTGTCTGTCTGTCTACCTACCTACCTACTATCTGCCCATCAGATCCTACCTATCCACTACTGCCTCATCAGTTGCCACTCCTGGTTTTGTGTAGCTATAGTGTTTACACTGATACTGTATAACCATGGCGACAGGCTACAGCCAGAATCAGAGCTGTTCCTGAGCTGTATCTGTCATTTTCACAACTATTTCGGGCCCCTAATTCAGACAGCTGAATGACTTCTGGGAGAAGTATCAGCAGTAACTAGGATGTATCTGGACAACGCAAGCAAGCTAGGAAAATTCTTACCATGTAAGTAGAGGTCTGCCTTATATGTCACGGAGAGAGCCAAGGCAAAGACTCACCAGCCCAAAATAATGGTTCCTTTATAAATGTGCCAAGTTTGTTGTTCCTGTTACTTCCTCTGAATTCACACCTGAAAATAAAATAAGGGATGAAATCTTTTTAGAAATAGTCTTAGGGGCTCCTGGGTGTCTCAGCCAGTTAAGTGTCCGACTCTTGATTTTGGCTCAGGTCATGATCAGGTGGTGAGATGGAGCTCTGTGCTGGCTGTGGAGCCTGCCTGAGATTCTCTCTCTTTGCCCTTCCCCCTTCTCTTTCCAAAAAAAAAAAGAAGGCTAAAATTCTAAAAAACTAGATGGATTGTATACAATGAAAAAACTTGCTATTTTTAGATTCAAACAAAATTACTGTGCCAAATTAATTTCCTTTTTTTCCCCCCAAATTAATTTCCTATCCACAAAGAAAACTTTATATTTAATAAAAATGGCTGCTGCTGAGCCAGAGGTGAAATGAAGCCCCAGTGGGAGTGAGCAAGTTCCACCTAACCGGGGTGGTCTAAGGGGCCGGGCCAACGCCTGAGCTGAGGGTCTCAGCACTCCTGTGAGCCCGTACAATAGGATGGCGTCCTAGAACCGGCTGTCTCCCTGACCTGTGAGATCCGCATTCGATTCTGTACTATTTAGGTCCTCTTACTCTTGGGCCAGTTTGAGTTTAATTTTCATTTCATGTCTGCAGCCACTTCTACCCATACAACAGACAGTGTCACCACGGGCTACTTGAAGTTTTCATGTCTCTCTAGAAGTCACCAGCACCAAGATTTATTCTGAAAGAAGAGAATGTGTTTCTTTCGCAGTAACTGGATGATTTTATCAAAATTCAAAGTAGATCCCCACCGCCCAGCATATGTGTCAGTGAACGGCAGGCTGACGGGACAGCCACAGAGCAGGGAAGAGAAAGGGTGGGGGAGACTCTGGGGCAGCTGCGCATTGCTCAGGCTCAGGGGGGGCCTCCGGCCCCCCAGGCAGGGGCTGGCTGCCTGCAGCTTGGGCCCTGGGGCTCTGACACAAAGGCTTCAGGCAGCCGTAAAGAACAGCTACAGATACTAACTAAAAACTCCATTTTCCCTGAGGAGAGTAAGGCAAAAAAAAAGTCTCGGCTGTAAATTGATGTTTTTCTTCAAGTCTCACCCCTACATCTCAAGGGGTTACCATGAGTACTTTTATGTTTCACCAGGAAGGGCAGCAGTGTGACCAGGAATCACCCATTAGCTCTCACCACCAACGCAGGGCTATTGTTCCCCTGTTAGAGTGGACCCTGCAGGCAGCAGGTGGGACTATTTTTTATTTTACTTTATTTTATTTTATATTTTATTTTATTATTTTTATTTTTCGAGAGAGATAGAGCCAAGGGGTGGGGGGAAAGGGAGAGAGAGAGAGAGAGAATCTTAAGCAGGCTCCATGCACAGTGCAGAGCCTGACGCAATCTCCATCTCATGACCCTGAGATCATGATCTGAGTGGAAACCAGGAGCCAGTGGCTTAACCAAGACTGAGCCACCCACGCACCCAGGACTGGTTTGTTTGGTATTTTTTTTTAATGTGCTAATTTATATGGAAGCTACAAGAACAACTAACAAAGAAAGTGAAAAAATAATTAAGCTATATTTAAATGTGGGAACAGGTCCAGAGAGAGCATGTGAACTGTTTCTGACACATTTTTATTAGATTAAAAAAAGAAGTGGATTTTACAAAGTGCTGTGAGCTTTTTCTTCTGGCAATTTTAAACATAAGATAAGCCATGTGCCCTCAACTGACGAGTGACAGAGCAGAATGAGGCAGAAGCCTGGAGTGTGTGGGATTTCGGGAGCCTCGGAGGAGCTGCTGAGGAGCCGTGTCACTCTCCTGCCCCCCAGGGGAGAAGGGGGTTTTCCTGAATTTCATTTCTCAAGTGCAATGTCATTTTTAGGAAGCTAAAGGTTATTTTTTTAAAACATAAGCTTTAATTTAAGAGAGGCATCAAATTTGTCAAGTGCTTAATTCATTTTGTCTGGGGTACAGTGGCGTTGAAGGCAGGCAGCTAGCAGCTGGAGGCCTCCTGTGGGCACAGCACCCCCCTGGGCATTCAGACATCCCAAGGCCTGCCCCCACATAATCAAGTCTGCATTTAATTCTCAGGAAAGAAATGTTATGGAAGACAGCCCTCAGGACACAAAATCAAGTCTCAGCAAAAACGATCCAAACTTGGAGATGCTGGTTAAACTGGTAAGCCGATCACTACACAGAATTTTCCATTTGCTTTGCTCCTGACCAAAAGAAAAAGACAAGGGAACAAACAAACAAACAAACAAAACCCTTCAGTCTTTATTCTGATTAGTTCTTTTTTTCTTGAAAGTTTCCCTTAAGGGGAATTTTAAAAACCTAAATATAATTCAGGGAATCCACTGGGTAGATTTTTCTTTTGAGAAAGTCTTGGTCTGAGAAGTCGAACTAAGAGGATGGCAGTGTAACATCTTGGGGCTAAGAGCTATCTCTGTGCTACTCTGCTTTCTAATATAACACGAAGACAGAATTTAAAGAAATGGCACATGGACATAAAGGGTCACAATTTCTAACACCTCCTAGCTGGTGGTCTGAGTTCAAGTCTGAGGATAATCAATATAACTTTGAGGGCTCAGTCCTTCCGTTTATAAAAGGTAGTATGTGGAGGAGGCTGCAGGCAGGCCAAAGCTTGGTTCTGTCCTGCCCTGACATGCAGTACGTGCACGCCCTTTTGCCTTTCTTTGTCACACATTCACAAATTCATCATCATATTTTCGTTCTCAGAATCCTTTAAGGTAGACGTTAGCAACCACGTTTTGTAGACGAGGAACTCCAGTAAGAACACTTAAATCGCTTCCCTAAGGTCAGACAGCCAGGGGACAGAGGAGAAAGAAACTTGAATTCCGAGGTCTGGAGCTCAGCCCTGGGGCTCCTACCCCAGCGCCTCTGTACGCTGGATGAATCCACCTGCTACAGGTGGTGAAGGCGTGGACCTTGTGGCGTGGGCACTGGTGCACCTCAGATCCACCCCCAGGAATCACTACAGACAGGGGGTTCACATTCACATGGTGCCATGAAGAACATTGTCTCATCCCGCTACTGGTCATAACACCTGACGTTGGTTTTAAGACAACAAGGAAAGGTTTGGCAACTGAAGCCTTAATTCAAAATGATTACAAATATTGGAAGACTCCAAACATTTTTTTAAATGTATGCAAAAAAAAGTAATATGGATTCCAAGCCAGCTGCCAGGTGGGATACAAATGTTTTATTATTATTTTTTTAATTCATTAGGTAACACGTAGCTGAAAACAGTGTGTTTATAGTATTCCATAGAGAGAGTTTTTGGAATTTTCTCTTAAATTACTTTTACATTTTAATTTTGGTTCATGAATTCATGGTTGATTTGTTTTGGGTGAAGTTCACATTATTACACTTAGTATTGTCATATTTTATTTGGGGCAGCTTGGGGCATACTAGGGTTGGAGGGGAAAATTGTGTTCTAAGTTCAAATATAAGGCCATTACAATTCTAAAATTTAAATATTATAATTGTTTTCTATTGTAAAGATACTCATTTTTCAGTTTTCGAAAAGTACAGATAGGGATCCCTGGGTGGCGCAGCGGTTTGGGCGCCTGCCTTTGGCCCAGGGCGCGATCCTGGAGACCCGGGATCGAATCCCACGTCGGGCTCCCGGTGCATGGAGCCTGCTTCTCCCTCTGCCTGTGTCTCTGCCTCTCTCTTTCTCCCTCTGTGACTATCATAAATAAATAAAAAAATTAAAAAAAAAAAAGAAAAGTACAGATAAAAGGAAAAGAATTAACCTATTCCCAGTACTGAACATTAGTTGCCCCATATGTGTCAATGGCATACATAATAATAGGGTGTGGAATTCCTTTACGCCAGTGAATGATGTTTCCCTCTGCATTAAAGGATAAAACAGGACTTTCAAACGTAGATAACATTTGGGAACCTAGCCAGATGCATTCAGTTCCGTTTTAGGGTCCTTTTTCCTAAACACGGAAAGGAGTGCATGAGTTTTGTGTTTCATGAATGCCTCTGAGAAGCAGGTCAGTTGTTAACGAGAGGGCTAGCTCATTTCAGTGCTGCCGGCTGCAGGATAATCGATAAAACGCTATAAATCGATCAATAAAACATGGGGGAAAAGAGATAGGAAAGCAGTCCAGAGAGGGCACACCCCAAAGGCTTCCTCACTGGACTGTCGCTGCCGTGAAGGCAGGACTGTGCTCGCCCCACGTGGCTGACAGATGGATACTGGGGGGGGGGGGGGGCGGGGAGGTGGGTAAGCGGGGGCCGCAGTGTGCTCCGGGGGCCGAGACGAAGTCGCATCTCCGCGAGGGCGTCCGCTGGCCTGACGCGGGGCCGGGCTGGCTGTGACGCCGCGGCAGGCAGTGGTCCCAGGTCCACGGTGGTGCCCCGTCAGGGCCCCTTCCAAGGTGCACACTGCAGACCCCAAGGCCGCCCCTCAGTCCTCCGGCTCCCCCGAGGCTGTCCGCCGGGGGGGCAGCCTGCTTTCCCGGGGGTTCTTCCTGCCTCTCCGCGGGAGTCCGGGCTCCGCACCGACTCGGCTGAAGAGCGGGGGAGGGTGGTCCGGGGTGGTCCGCGGTGGTCCGCGGTGGTCCGGGAGCTCTTCTGCAGCGAGAGGACAGACGCGGAGACGCGGGCAATGCTGAGACGTCTACGCGGGCCTGCAGGCGGCGCTGCCCCCGCGGGGCGCTTCTCGTTCTGCAGATTCTAAGTCTCAGCAGGTAAACCCCGAAGAGGCGTTTCCTTCAGAGTCCCTCCGCCGTCCGAGGCAGCCACACCTCCGTGTTTCAGAAGCCGTCGCGAGGTTCCTGGAGCCCTGCGGCCGCGGGCTGCGCCCCGGAGCCCCCCCACCCCCGTCCCCGCCCCCACCCGCCCCGCCGCCAGCCTGGGGCTCGGCCGGGTCCTGTCGGGGTCCCGCTGGCGCCCAAGGCGGGAGGAAGGGGGGCTGCCTGGCCCGCTCTTCCCCGCAGCGTCCAGCTGAGCGAAGGGAAGGAGGACAAAGCATTGCCGGGGTCAGGTCCCCGGGGTCCCGAGCCGGGGTCCCCAGGGCGGCGTCCGCGGAACGACAGCCCGTGGTTTCCCGCGTGCCCGCCGACCGACGAGCGCCCGCGGGGCACGGAGGAGCTGCTCACGCCCTCCCCGGGCGGGGCGCGGCGGGGGAGCGGGGCGGGGGCGGCGGGGGCGGCGGGGGCCCTCCCAGGCCACCTGCAGCAACCGCCCGGGCATCAGGAGGACGGGACCCGCCCCCGAGGCAGCCTCCCTCCTGCGCGCCCGGCCCCCTCCCTTCGGGCGAACCGCGCCGCCCTGCGCCCCGGCCGACAGCTCTGCCGAAGCCCTCCCGGGCACTAACGACCGCGGGTTCACCTCCTGAGTCTCTGGGTTGTCCCGCCGGCAGGCCCAGGCACGCTCTTGTCACCCGGCAGGCAGTTTCGAGACCACCTGAGAGGCGGGCTGCAGCCCACTGCGTGGGAGAAACACTCCTCAAGTCCGGAAGCCAGTTGGACACATGTACCAATTTCTTCAACCATTACCCGGCTGTTCTGAGAACTATGGAGAAGGTAATGGTGGAGCTGCCATCCGAGCTTGAAAGGGAGCTTTGTGAGCAATCCAAAGGACTGGAATCAATAAGAAAGACTTCTTCCCACGCTTAGCTTCCAGTCCACCGTGAGGTCTTTGAGGCCAGGGACCCGGACTTCTCTGATCTCGTGTCCCTGAGGGTTCGCACAGTGCGTGATACAGCAGGACCTAGGACCTGGCCGTTGGACTGAACGAATCCTACAGATTGCCAGGCTTTCACCCGCCCCAGGCACCCTTGGTGCAGTGAGAGAAAAACATTTAACGCTTAGGTAGGAACAAGGCCGAGGGCCCGGATTCTACTCTGCCTACACAGCCCTCTGCGGCCTTGACAAGTTCAACTCTCTGATGGAGAAGAGGAATTAATATTCCATGTTTCTCAGAACAAAGAGGCCCAGTTTGTGGAATTTCACTCTGAAGCAAGGAATTTCTTTGTCTTCCACTCCTTAGAGAGTTCGTTCGTCATGAGCGATCTCCCTGTCGTGACTTAAGCTGCCCGCAGTCTGAGCGGGGATATGCAGCTCCCTTCTGTGTCACGCGCTGCTCTTGTTGGGACCTCTTCTGATGGCAGTGAGGTCTCTCTTCCCTCCCTCCCCAGTTTGTATCAAAAGTGCAGCAGGTGAGGGGACCTTCCGCTGCTGCCAGTGTCTACTACATGCTCTTTGGCTGTGTTCACCCATCCATTCTGAGGCCCTGGGGGGAAGGCCTGGCGACTGGGGGGCCTTTGAACAAGTCCTGACCTCAGACATCTCTTTGCAGTATTCTTCTTGCTCCATTAGGGAGTTTAAATACTGCTGGACAACAGAATTATGTGAAAGTTTTATGAATAAGGCAATTTCATAGACCCAACCTTTAGGGCAAGAATGGGGGCAAAGTGTCACATAATATTGTAAACAAATTGATACCAAAATTGTATAGTCAGGGATAATAATGGTGTCTCTTTTAGCAGCGTGGGGTATGCAGAGAAGTAAGTACTCAGTAAATGTTAGCTATTAATATTACAACCAGTGTATATTTGACTTCTAGAAATTAGCATTACGGGCATCTTTTGGCACATATGTACTGAGAAAAATGAGGTGATTTCCTGAGTGCTCTAATGGTGATGAATGAAAACTATTTAAGGCAGACATTTAGCACAACGGAGCCTCTTTATGATGTTACTATGGAAAACATAGTTAACAGCAGTATGACAGTGAATACTATTAATAGCTTTTTACTGTGGAGACAGCATTTACTGCCTGACAAGTACTTTGTGGATAGGATTTTCCCCCTCATCACCACAAGAGTTAGCTAGGATATCCATGTAAAACCAAGGCTCGGAGAAGTTAAATAACTTGACAGGGTCATGTAGAATTAAATAGAATTAAATTAGATTTTTGATTTTAATCCAGACCTACCTGATTGCAGAGTTCATTTTGTCTGTACTAAGTTCACCGAATAGGGTAATTTCGGATAAAATTAATACACTGCGCTTAGTATATTAGGAAGCACCAATAGTACTAATAATACTTTGGTTAGATGAACTTGCTGCCCTTCTGCTTTGAGTGCTTCATAGATCATGCTTGCCTGGTGGAACAGAAGGCTTTTCAACCATATCACAGAGCAAATTTTTGACATAATGCTCACCTTTAGTGCAGAGAAATGATACCAGCATTCCGTGCTTTCCTGAAGAGGCATGATAAGACCATTGCTACCAAAATGCTGAGGTAAGTTCTGAGGGAGCACACAGTGGGGGTGGCCCAAGGACAGGGCACACTTTGATCTTCAGGGAGCGACCAGGTTTCCCTTTTCTATGCCTTATGCAGCCTCCCAGAGCTGCTTTTGTACCCATCCCGAAGATTCGAAGAATATATTAATCTCTATGCTCTGAGGCTTCACACTCCTGCAGAACACGTTGACCGTGGGGACTTGACCACTGCAATTGACCAAATCAAAAAATATAAAAGTTATATAGATCAGGTTGGTTGCTGATGAGGGTTCGTTCATGTCCTTTAAAAATGTTACAATGCTTTGTGGTACTGACCCAAAGATCCTGAAATGCCTTATCCTTTCGTGGTGTTCTTTACTTCAAAGTCTTTCCTCCTTTTCATGTGAAACCATTGGGTTCAGTGATTTTTGAGCACGAAGGCAGCTTTTCTAAGCCACACAACAGGAGACAATGTTTTCAGGTATCTGTATAAGTGCAATAAAACTTTTATTTATATGGAAGTTTGAAGAACTGAACATTTGGATTGATTTTTCTAGATAACTAAAAGAAAAAAGTAAAATCCTTTGTTTCTGAAGGTACTTCTTATTAATGAACTTGTCTGCCTCAGTAACTATAGCAATCGTAATTATCCTCTGAAAGAATTTGGCATCTTGGAAGACAGGACTATCGTTCAGAAAATATGGTTGTGATGTGCGTATCACACGGGCATCTGGGCTGAATGTAAACTGATAATATATATGCCCTGAAGATACTTTGTAAATACAGTCTTGTCACTTGCCTCTTTGTTTTAAAACATTGGGGACACAAAATTGAGATTCTTATTAAGTTTATGAAAATACTGAGCCCTGTCTCAAGTGCCATAAAATATTTTAAACCTGTTTTTAATGTATAAAAACTTCCCAATTTTAGTTTGCTTAAAATCACTTTGTTTACTAGATGGAGCAAAACATCAGGATGAAAGATCAGCTGCCAGACATACAGAGAATCGTGCAGGGATGCCCGGTGCATATTCTGACCTACTCATTACATCTCATGCTCGTGACTTTAACCTCACATCATTGGCAAAAGGAGACATGCAGATTTCGATTCAGCTAACATCTATTGAATGCCTGCTTCATGCCATGTGCCAGCAAGCTTTCACATTTCACATCCTTGATAGCTGTAAGGATGCATATGAGAAGAAGTGCAAGTGGACTTGACCCTCCCCCATAACTTTTCTACAGCCTCAGCTCCTTGATTGGTACTTCTGTGAACATGACCTCCTTTGGGGAAAGGGGCCATGACTCCTATTATTTTATACTTTCCTGTATATCGTGCCTGGTGTAGGATTCTGTACACTGAGAACATCTGAAAAAAATCTCAGGAGTCCTCTGTTAGTTATTAACTATAGGATATCATCTGGTTCCACTCTTCCTTCTTTCTTACTGCCTTGCCTCCCACTTCATGATCAAATCACACAAATCGTCTCATAGTTCTCCAATTGCATTAGCCTTTCTCCACACACTTGTGCTTTGCCCATGCTTTTCCTTCTCTGAAATTGCCTTCCTTTCTCATTGCTATTGGATAAACTATTTGTCCTTTAAAAATCCAGTTCAATCATTACCTTCCTTGTAAAGTTTGCCAACATCTCCAGCTGTGAGTTCCCCCCTTCTTGGTATCCTACGGCACCCTGAAGATCTCTGTCATACTTTTTTTTTTTTTTTTTTTACCACTCCTTAGTTCATGAGACTGAAGCTCCGTCAGGTATGAGCTATGATTTATATCCTCTAATGTTTGGCATATAGTAGGAACTTGATATATGAAATATGTTGAATTAAGGTACCAATTTATTGGAAATATTTTTATTTGGTCAAATTGGGAAAACAAGATGGAGCTATTTTGTTTGAATTTAGATCTGCAAATTTTGGTAGGGAGAGTGGAGTTGACTGGATTACAAAAAGTCCAAAATCTTAGAACTCATAGAGTCCAATCTTACTTCTGAATCACTGTTCACACCAAGTAATCCTCTCATGGTTAAATCAGTACAAGGGCCCAGCTTCTGAATTTTTAACAATCCATTCTTTTCCTTTCCTTGATCCCTTCTTACATGCTCCCTACCATCCCCCCCCTCTCTTTTTTTAATACTAGGAAAGCATTTAAAGCATTTATAACTAAAACCATAATTTCTGGTACTTTTAAGAATTGGACAACACCTTCAAATATAGTTTTCATTCTGAGTTCTGTGGACTTTGTAAAGAAAACCAATTTTGTCAATAATAAAAATATTCACTTTTTAATAATTCAACAGAGTTCTACTCAACACAGTTTCTGGGATATAGAACAGTTCTGCTTGAGTGGAACTTTTTATTTTCTACAAATTTATGAATGTTTCTAATTTTGTTTTTGATTTCACAGCCTCTATCAGAAGAAAACAGATATTTGATTAGGGTACAAGATGTAGCCCAACTTCACTGCTGTGATGAGGCAGTAAGTTTCCCTTTAAGGTAAACATTCAACTATCCTATGGCTGTGACTACGTCTTGCTCATTTTATACATGGGATTCGGTAATCTATGTATTGGACTGAAAATGTAACACACACATTCCTCTGAAGCATTGTAAGGTGCTTTATGACCTTACTTACATTCCAGGCAGAAACTTGATAGAATGTGAGGAAATACATTATCTCTGCCAGAATCACAAACTGCATAGAGGCAGGAATTCTGAGGATGGTCATTTTCCTACTGAAAGAAGATCCAAGTGTTGTGGGTATCACACCAGTGATTTGCTCAGCTATAAGGAAGAGAAGACTAGTTAATTATCCTCAAAGAGTTACTGAGGTTAGTATTAAAAAGATCTCACCAAGAGACCACCTTATATTGAGGTCTCACCATATCTGTTTTGCACAGTGCTCACAGTAGTGTAAGAACAAAAGATGGGAGGGGTGCCAATTTCTGTAAGCTGGCAATCCCTTTCCTCCTCTATAACAAGGACAGGCAAACTTTCTTTGTAAAGGGTCAGATAGTAAACATCCTAGGTCTTGTTGGCCAGATGATTTTTGTGGCAACTACTAACTTCATTGTAGCAGAAAAGTAGCAACATAATGATACATAAATAATGCAATCTTCATAAACAGTACAATACATAAATGAAAGAGCATGGCTGTGTTACAGTAAAATTTTATTTATAAAACAAGTGATGGGGCCATAATTTGCTGATACCTGCTTTAGAAAATTGTTTGCAAAACTATGTTCTCAATATTAATGGCAAAGATGACAACTCAGAAAATAGTAACCAAATAGAGAGAAATCAACTCCTATGATTTGTCCAGCTCCAATAAAAGAAATAAAAATGGATTTGCCTGTTATTTCAATTAATATTTCAGTGAATGTTTCCCAAAGATGTAGGTCGGTTGGTGGGGGGGGGGTGGCGGGGGGGTGGTTCTAAGAAATCCAGGGCTTTCCCCTTTTTCTTGACTAGAGAAATGAAAAATCAAATGAAAATCAAATCACACAATTGTGTCACTTTTCTCATTATCATAGTGTTTTTGTTTTCTTTGTTTTGTTGTTTTTGTTCAGTAGCAATAGAAATGAGCTGTAGGGATGGAAGGAAACTAGCTATCAAACCAGCAATTCTAAGCACACTGGGGTAGTAGGAGACATGCTAGGAATTATTCCAGTTTTTTATTATTAGAATTTATTTTATATTTGTTTTTAATATTAGAATTTATTTCTGGCCTACATAATTTACCTTCTCTCTAAAAAACTTCTTTTAACCTTTCTTTCTAGGCAGGTCTACTGCAATGAATTTCCTCAACTCTTGAGTCTTTATTTCTCTTTCACTTTTGAAGGATAATTTTGCTGGCTACAGAATTGTGGATTGCTGCGTTCTTTTCTTTCAACATTTTACTCTCTTCTTGTTTGCCTGGTTTCTGAAGAGACATCTAGTGTAATTCTTATTCTTGTTCTTCTTTGGTAAAGTGTTTTTTTGTTTTGTTCTTTTTTTTCCCCCCAAGATTTTATCTTTGATTTTCTGGATTTTGAATGTAATATCAAACATGCCTAGGTGTAGAAATTTTGGTATTCACCCTGCTTGGTATTCTCTAAGTTTCCTGGACCTGTGGTTTTGGACTCTCAATAATTTTGGAAAATTCTCAGCCATCATCACTTCAGGTATTTCTTCTGTTGTTCCTTTGTCTTTTTTCTCCATGTGATGATAGTCCCATTACACATATGTACACCTTTTGTAATTGTCCCACGTTTCTTGGGTAGTTTGTTCCTTTCTTTTTCAGTCTTTTTTTTTCTCTTTGCTTTTTCAGTTTGGTTAGTTTCTATTGATGTATTTTCAAGCTCATTGATTCTTTCCTCAGCTATGTCCAGTCTACTAATGAACCCATCAAAGGCATTACTCATTTCCATTTCAGTGTTTTTAAATCTACAATCTTTTAATTCTTAGTTTCCATTTCTTTATTTCTATTACTCATCTGTTCTTTTGTTGCATGTTGTCCTCCTTTTTCATTAGAGTACTTGGCTTATTCATTATAAATATTTTAAATTCCTGATCTAATAATTCCAACAACATCCCTGCCATATAAGTCTGATTCTGATGCTCGATTTATCAAACTGTTCTCTTTTCTCTTCGTATGACTTGTAATTTTTTTTTGTTGAAAGCTAGACATGACATGTTAGGTGAAAAGAACTGATGTATGGCATCCCTGGTGGCTCAGCAGTTTAGCACTGCCTTCACTTCAGCCCAGGGCCTGATCCTGGAGACCCGGGCTCCCTGCATGGAGCCTGTGTCTCTGCCTCTCTCTCTCTCTCTCTCTCTCTCTCTGTGTGTGTGTGTGTGTGTGTGTGTGTCTCCCATGAATAAATAAATAAAATCTTTAAAAATAAATAAAATAAAATAAAATCTTTAAAAAAAAGAACTGATGTAAACAGTTCTTCAGTGTGAGGTATTGTTTATGTGGCTAGATGTTAGCCTATTTTTACTGCTTGTTGTAGCTGTGGTATCAGAGGCTACAGTTTATTTTGGTATTCTTGTTTTTGTCTCCCCTGTTGTCACTAAGTTTCCCTAGAGATCCCTTAAATAGGGTCTGAGCCTTCTAGTTCTTATTAGCTGTAATCCCTTGTCATTATAAGGAATCCTTTTGATGTGGTGTCAAATGGGAAGGGAAGAAGAGTTCTATAATCTCATGATTAGGTCTTAATTTTTTAGTGAGCTGTGCCCCTGGGCTAGGACTCTCACAAGTGTCTTTCAGTCCTTTTTGTTTTGTTGTTGTACACTTCTAAAAGACAGGAAGGCTAGAGGGGCCTGGAGGTGGGTGTTTCCCTTCCCCCATATGGTTAGATTCTGGTAAAATAGTTTCCCTTGAGGTAAACTGTAAGGTTTACCCCATCTTTTCCTTTGGTAAAGAGAAGAGAACTCTTTGGGCACCATTTCTAAAAAGTTACCATTCCCCTCCCTATCAGGAATAATGAAAATATTTTTCTTTGATCTTCACAGTGAGAACCTAGTGGTGCTCCTGGAAGTAAAACTCCTGAAAGTTTTAAATTCATGCAAATGGAGAGAGAATGTTCCCCTAAGGCTAGGCTTCCAGGAGTCGCTACTCTTAAAGTAGTTCACACTGACTCTTAACAATTAGTCAGTTCTCCTTTAAATACTCTTTTTTGATGCTCCTCCAGCAAGGAGTTTCTGCTTCCAGTAAGCTGTGCTTCTTTCAGTGTCTCTCCAGCTTTTGGGGTGCTGGTTTCCCTTGTGACCTTAATTCACTGATACATCAGAGAAGAGTTGTTGATGCTGAGGTTTTCAGCTTCTTTTTTGTTGTGAGGTTGGAAGTTAGGACTTCCAAGCTCTTTACCTGTCCAACCTGAAACCAGATTCTCAATTATTAGAATTTAGGCTTGTCTTCAGTATTGGGACAATAGAGAGTACATTTAAGAATTTGAGGACAATGGGAGAATACTAAATTATTTTACCCTCTAATTATGAGGTACATTTATATTAAAATAGGCACTATCGCAGTGATTTGCCAAGCAAATAAATGTAAATGTAACTTTACATTAACATTTAAAATTAAGTAAATACAAGATAGGTTCATATTCCAAAAAGTATTATAGAATATTTAGCCTGCAACTTTGTTTTCTATCATTTTGGAATGTCCCATAAAACTTAAGAAATCCCATTCCCATAACTTCCACTAGGGATTTCTATTCAGAGGAAACTCTGCTTATATTTATAATACTGACTCACATGAGTATAAGGCTTTATAATTCACCATATTTTTAAGTCAACACTTTTATTTTTTATTGTAATCTCTACACCCAACATGGGGCTCAAACTCACAACTCCGAGATCAAGAGTTACATGGTCTTCCAACTGAACTAGCCAGGTGCCCCTATCATATTTTTAAACTCTCTCATTTGATACACTCATTACAATCACTTGCTAAGGCATGTAGGACTGGAACAGTGTTATTGGTGAGAATCTGGATTTAAGTAAGTTTTCTGAGGCCACAGAAAAAGTGCTGGTCTGAAATTCAAAACCAAGTCTCACTGCTCTATCTACTGATTAGGCCAGCAGGTGAAAAAAATGAATGAACTGAACCTTCCACTAAATAAACTCACCAGCTGAGTAGCACGTACTAGCCAAATTACTAATAGACAAGAGCTGTGACAGAAAAAAACAAGTAAATATTTACACCATAAATGAAAACATTTCCTCTGGGCTAGAGATGAAGTCATAGGGTCATTTTAGAGCGAGGTGATTTGGAGCTATTTGTCTATGGATACAGCCCACAGTTTGGGGATATGTTAAGCTTTTATAATATGTAATTTGGAACTTTTATATCATTTTTCCAGAAACACCAATTTGCATTGATGTGACTTAAGCCTGCTGGTTTTTAAACAGGCTTTTTATGTTCTTGTTGTTCTCTCTTCCCTCACTTGATGTAAAGGTGACAAAAGAAGCCCTCTAGGACTGGTAAATAGTGGCATGGCCTTGAATCACCCAAGGGAGACATCTACTTCTCAGACCAAGTCCTCTTGGGGAAAAGCCCTATTACACTGCCCAAAATGCATAGTGTAAACATTCTTCTTAGCCTTACACAGAGACCGGCAGTCACTTACCAAGGCAACTACATATTGGGGACTTCCCAGGGATACTGGCCTCTGGCTCTGAATCGATTCTTATCCTGGAAACTCAGCCGCTAGCATCAAAAGTCAGCGTGTGGATGTATAGGAGCTACAGTTGTGGTTCAGGTCGGCTCAGAGAACCTATAGTTCGCTGTTGTCTGTTCATGCCCGAGGTTGTAAGATTCCTTTCAAGGTTTTATGTATTTATAGAAGTTGGGTACTTCATCCTGTTGGCAGTCTAATACAATAAACAACAAAAAAACATTTCTAGAATGATATTAGTAATTTAAACTGTAATAGACCTGTTATATTCTGCTGAGTCATTTGAACTATTTCTGAACAAGAAAAGAAACCCTACACAAGTTCAGGGGAAAAGAAATTGTACCCTTGGAATTGGTTCTTGGAGTTGGAGTTGGTTCTTTTGAATCTGCAGAAGTGGCTTTCTGAAACCCTATTAGGATCCATAGTTTCCACTTCTATTGCTTTATTATGTCAATATGAAAGGTGAAATTATTTACTTTGACATATGTAGAACTATTGTTAAGTTTTTAAAAAAGGTTCTGGTGTTTCTCATCTTTGCTTGAAAATTGTTGGAGATCTTGAGGGCCTCCCTCCCTCGCTCCCTTCCTTCCCTATGCCCTCCCTTTCCTTCTTTCTTTTAAAGATTTTATCCACTTATTTTAAGGAGGGAGAGTGAGAGACAGTATGAATGGTGGGAGGAGCAGAGGGAGAGGGACAAGCAGACTCCATGCTGAGCCTGACACAGGACTTGATCCCACCACCCTGAGATCATGACCTGAGCCCAAATCAAGAGTACGACACTTAACCTACTGAGCTGCCCAGGTGCTCCTTGAGGGTCTTAACTTAGTAAATGGCTTTTGAAAACCTTTTTTTTTTTTCTTTAATGATTTTATTTATTCATTCATGAGAGGCACACACACACACAGAGAAGCAGACACAGGCAGAGGGATTAGCAGGCTCCATGCAGGGAGCCCAATGCGGGACTCCATCCCGGGACTCCAGGATCACACCCTGGGCCGAAGGCAGGCGCTAAACCGTTGAGCAACCCAGGGATCCCCCTGAAAACCTTTTTTTCTAGATAGAACACAGATTTTAAATAGCACTCGCATAATCAGATTGAAATAATGAAAACCTCTTTGTGTCTTCAAGCCTCCTTCCCTGTTCACGTCCTCTGATTACAAGTGGCCTCAATTCCAAGATAATGTGCCTGCTCCTGCCCTTCCTTGGGCCAACCACCCGCTCGCTCCCTGTGGGTCACAAAATTGGGATTCTCTCCTTTACTTCCACCCCCAGTGTGACCCTTTCCAAAGGAAAAAGGTGATTACTTACCAAAGCAACCACCCGTTTCAAAGCCACTTCTTTAGAACACATTCTGATAATTCAGGTAAAACAGCAGAGTTTTATTATAGCTTTGAACATTTTTCTAAACTAGTACGAGAGGAGAAGTAATTGTTCTTATTAGTAATATGGTAAAATTGCCAGAAAAGGACAATATGGGTGGGGTTCTCTTATCTACTTAAAGTGGCCATTCACCACATATAGACCATTACACACAGATTTAAATATCTCCTCCCTTTCTTGCTTCCTCTCTTCCTCGTCACTAGTTCTATATGCACCATTATTGTCAGGATACCCTATCAACTTGATCTAGAATATGATTTCCTGTAAGACATCAGTATATGTGAAGCACCACACTCCTTCCAGCCTAAGTCATAACCACATAGACATGGAGAGGAAATGTGTGAGAAAGGTAAAGCTGGCTCTGGTGGTTGGGTGACCACTGCATTTCTCCTTATCCATACACTTAACATAGCCAGTACCTCCTAACACTCTCCAAATAGCTGAACCTGAAATATAATAATCCTCACCAGGACTCTGGATCCAATCCTTTGCCTAGCATGACACAGTTGTTACTAATAGATGGTTTAAATTCCTCACCACTCAAAGTATGGTCTGTACATTAGCATTATAAGGGAGCTATTATAGATGCAGAAAATCTCAGAACTCTAGCTCTACTGCATCAAAATTTGCATTTTAACAAAAATCTCCAGGTAATTTAGAGGGACATTAAAGTTTGTACTGTGTACAAGTCAGAGCCATTGTCATATACAATGAATTCTAAATGGTAATTTTAGCAGCTTTTATGGACAGCAATCGGAGTTGTTTTTAAGATTTTATTTATTAAAAAAAAGATTTTATTTATTCATGAGAGACATAGAAAGAGACAGACACAGGCAGAGAGAGAAGCAGGCTCCATGCAGGGGGCCCGATGCAGGACTTGATCCCAGCTCTCCAGGATCACGCCCTGAAGGCAGTGCTAAACCGCTGAGCCACCCAGGCTGCCCATCAATCTGAAAGTTTTTGATAAAAATACATAAAACCTTTGACCAATCAATCCTACCCTCCAGAGGCCTATTTGATAGAAGTAACCGTGTAAGGGATTTGATTTTATGTGAAGATCAGTTTATTTGAACATTGCACATAGTGGCAATAAAGAACTAGTGAAAGGAGAGAGGTAAGGGAGAAAAGAGACCCAAGTCTGTAAACAAAATCACTGAGCATCGGGACACCTGGGTGGCTCAGTGTTGAGTGTCCACCTTCAGATCAGGGTGTGATGCTGGGTCCTGGGATTGAATCCAGGGCTCCCTTCGAGGAGCCTATTCTCCCTCTGTATCTCTGCCTCTCCCTGTCTCTCATGAATAAATAAAATCTTTAAACAAAAACAAAGAACAAAATCACTGAGCATCAAAAGGGGAAGAGTTGAATAAATGATGGTCTACCCACACCCTAAAGTATTATTTGGCCATTAAAAATAATAAAGGGGCAGCTGGGTGGCTCAGTTGGTTAAGCATTGGACTATTGATTTCGGCTCAGGTCATATCAGGTCCTGAGATCAGTGTAGGGTCTGCTGGAGATTCTCTCACTCTGTCCCTCCCCCCACTTGAGTTCTTTCAAATAAATCTTAAAAAAAAAAGCATAAATAAAATAAAGCAAAATAAAAAATAGTTAACTTGAAGTGATTCCCATTCCTAAGTGACAAAAGCAGGAAAAACTGTGGATAATATAACCATTTTTGTAAAATTATGGCAACCTACCTATAAATAGATGTATACATACATACACGTATGTGTGGGTGGATTTACCTGAGCAAGGATGAAAACAAAGATAGAGAGTGGGTGGCCTGAGTGCAGGGAGGAGGGGACCAAGCAAAAAGAAAAAGTGAAACAAAAAAGGACACTTAAAAAAAGCCAATGGTGTGGATTGATGCCACTTAAGCATTTATGTACAACTTTATAAGGATTTAAATTGACAATTTAAAAATCAAACAAAGATGGTAAAGAAAAAATGAGACTTCCTCTGAACATCAAGCCAGACTCCCTTCCTTAGAGTAACTGAGGGTTGCTTGATGCTTCTAAGAGAAAAACGTTTTTTGGTTATCCTCCTATCAAAATACTGAGCTAGCCTCACGTCGTCTCTCCTGGTGTATGGGCGTGTGTGGGGTGCTAGGTCCTCCACAACATGTTGCTTGACTCCCTGGTGAGTACACACACAAGTAAACCCATACTAGGGTACATCAGACACAAAATTCCAAACTTGACAGAAGTTTAATGACACAGCTCTAGCATGATTCATGTCAGAAAGGAGAAGTTCCATGTCCCTTTCCCTCATATTGATTGAATCCTTGCCTAGTGGGTAAGTCAATTCATTCCACCAAGAACCTTGAGGCCCGCCCACAGCATTGGTCTGAGACAGAAGGGGACTGTTCACACCAGGAGGAAAATATGAGAACTCCAACGAGCCATCCCAAAGGTCTGTAGTGGGCAAAGCCTTGCCTGTTGGCTTATCAATGCAAAAATGGTGTACTGTGTAACAAAGCGTGTAGGTCTACCTAACCCTTTTCCACTTTAACACAGGCTCTACGAACAAACCCGTGACCTCAGTCTTTTCCTCTTCAATATGCACTGCTGGTTTCTAGTCGGGGCACACTGCATACTCCATTTGAAAGAACTTCAAAATCCACCTACCAGTTCATTGCATCAGTGGCCCTTCATAGTTTACTTGTAGAGGATATTCCAGATTCCAAATATATGTATTCTTTTTCTTTTTTTTTTTTAAATTTTTATTTATTTATGATAGTCACACACACAGAGAGAAAGAGAGGCAGAGACACAGGCAGAGGGAGAAGCAGGCTCCATGCACCAGGAGCCCGACGTGGGATTCGATCTCGGGTCTCCAGGATCACGCCCTGGGCCAAAGGCAGGCGCTAAACCGCTGCGCCACCCAGGGATCCCATGTATTCTTTTTCTTCCAAGAGTTAAAGACCTTTAGAAAGCTGTATTATATAATGCTCATTAACTATTGAAATATAAAATAGAAAAAGGAATGGAATTTTCATTTCCAAGTTTGCAAATAGTTCTCCCAATGTTTTTAGGAGTTCATTAATGTAAATTTGCATCTATCTGAAATAGCAAAAGAAAGGAATGCTGGCATTGTCAGACATGCACTACATTATTAGGAAAATAACTTGAAAATCACAAAGGGAAGCATGAACCCACATTATCCTAAGTTCTTTGAAGCAATCAGCCAGGAGAGCCACTTACTACTGCTTGTAAATGTTACAACTTTACACTCTTACCTATTATTTTTCCATTTTACTAGGACTCTATACTGCCTATCAATGTTATATTTTTTTTATTTTTATATGCTGTTTCCATTCCACTAGAACAAAGTGATTACTACAGATCTGTGTACCTTTTAAGTTCATATTCAAGTTGACAGTTCTTCTCTAATTAACAGATTTGCAAAGGATGTTTAATAACAAACATTTCACTCATTAATCTCAATAGAGCTGTCGTCTGTTACAAAAAGAAACCCTACTTAAAACTACCATGCCTATTTTTAGTTATTGTCCTACATTCTACTTCTTAAAAGGATCCTTCTCTTTCCTGTTAGGCCAATCTGAATGGAGTACCTCTCGTTCCAATCCTTTTCACCACGTGAAGGCAGGCTGAAGGTTAAAGCTGGAACAAAGGTCTTAGGGAACTCACCCGGTAAAAAGGATTGCTTCCCTTTAGCTTTAGCATCATTTTAAATCTGAACCTGAGAAAAAATGAATACCAAAGGTGAAAATAAGTATTTCCACCTAGAAGACAAAACTCAGGTGACATATCTATAATCACTAGGAATGGTTAAGGAGAGTAAGATATCTACTTTTCATCTCCCCGTAAGTCAGCACTGCCCTGTTGTCAAATTGCCGTCAACTACATAGGTGGCTTAATTCTAACAAAGGCCTTCATACCAAGGTGGGTCAGGCTTAGCTCTCAACATCTTTACCTGCACCAACTCAAGGCGGACTGTTACTGGTGCTAGTTTCTTCTGGAGTGGCTGAGACAAGGAATTAAAGAACATGACATCATCTACCACTTCGTCTTTAAAAATAACTGCTAATTAAACAATCACAAAGATGAGATTATTTTAGATTATATTACAATTATTCAGTATTTTTAGTAAGTTATATTCTAAAATGGACTTGTGTTTGTTGGAATTCCTTTTCAGTTGTCAATATACTCCTAAAGATGACTTGATCAATTATTGAATTTTAAACCCTTTTCTTTTCTTTTGATTGTGACCTGCCAGGATTAGTGGGCTTGAAATATTTTTTACAGATGTCAAGAATGCATTTATTCTTCATGGTGAATGGATTTGTGCTACAGAGGCTGAGGATGATAAATTCCTATGGTTGTCAGTGCTCCAAAGTGCAATCAAAAGTAGTATGGAGAAGTGAGAAAACATTATGGACGCTAATTCTCCCTGGCACAGACAGTGTATTTTGTGTTCCAGAAGATACAGTAGGAAGTAGAATGATGATTTGTCATGGATGATGGGAGAATGAACTAGGATGACCCATAAAGTCCCTCCTAACTTTTAAACTTTATCATCTATGTTCAACTATGCAAAGAAATGTATAGTAATAACAATTTGAGCCCAAAATTCTGAAGCACTTCTTTTTGTAGTTATTTTTCACAGACAGTATTATTTAATTTGACTGATGAAACCTAAGACAGAACAAGGATAATTGTGTATTTAAACTTTTGTTTTATGATCTAATGAAAAAGTCAGTATAAACAAGTATTTCTTAATGATCATTCTAGAGAAATATTTTGACTTACCAATCCCATCTTTATAAATTTTCATGATATAATTATTGGTTTAAAAATGTGTATAAGAATTTTAAAGGGCAATTTACTCAAAAACCTGTTACATACATCCTTAATGTGAACATACTCCTCCAGAGAGCATTAAAAATAAACCACTACGAAGTACTAAAAAAGTACCGTGATTTTTAAGTGTCTTTTGGTTGCAAAATTAAAATTTTCAGACCTTCCAAGTAAGTTTCAAAAAGTTAAATTAGACATTGTTAAATTAGAAGGCTGTTGGGGGAAAAAAAACTTTTAGGAAACAAAAATAATTAAGACAATTGTGTTTGAAGAAACAGCAAAACAGGTGCTCAGTAGTTTTCTGTACTTTTAAAATCATTTAATTATTTAACAAACTGAAGCTATAAATCTATTAGCCACTTGGAACTTCTGCTGATGTATACTGCAGTACTATTTTTTACGTAAAGTCGGTATTAATCTTGGGAGCTTTCAGTTGTCGGTTTCCTTTCTCTTTCATATTCTCTTTTCAGATAATAAAAATCTACAAGTATACCCTCGGACTGTGAACTGGGCTATTTTAAAGTTTCTTTTTTCCAATAACATACAAAATTCCTTCTAATTCTTAAAAATTTAAATTCCTGTTAAAAATGTAGAGAAGTTAAAATATTGTGCTGTGTTATTAATATAAAATCACACTTTGATTCTGTGATCCTACAGACAGCATAAACCACTACATCTGATGTTGGTCAGCAGTGAATGCAAATTTACATATGTGATCAAAATGTATCTATATCATATAATATGAAACAAATCATACGACATTATATCATCCTGAATAGGGCACACTACAGAAGCTCTGTTAATAGGAAAAACCAATCTATATGGCTGAAGATTGAATGACAAGATAGCTGAAAGTAAATTAGAAATCTCCAGAAATTTCCATTTATTTCATGAATAATCAATGCCCTCAGATGTTTTAAAACATTATTATTTGAAAATAATCTCTGTAGCAACTGATAAGCATAAGCTTCTAATTGAGAGTTAAATGCATAAATCATGCAAAAAATGATGTCTGCATTGGGTGGTACTTATGTTGTTTGTGGTCACAACACCTTCCCTTCGCTTCTAGGAGACAATCAAGAAAGACCTGTCTTCATAGCATCTTCATAAGTTTACATGACTGCTGAGGTAAAATCACACACACAATTCTAGGTTATTGGCAAAATTGCTCCAATTTTCACTGGGAAAATGAGAATATCTGCCCCTCAAGTTGACATAGAAGAACCTGGAAGTACCAAAGGACCGCCAAAGAACACTGATTATGGTTAAAGGATGCCTCAACCAATACAGTTCTTTCAAATCAAAAATTAAGTAGGAAACTCATTTTCAAAATTTTTACAAAATATAGATGCTTTATGTAAAATATTAAACCTAAAAAACAAGTTGACAGTTTATTTAATTTTCTCTCCTTTTACAAGTATTTGTGCTTGAGATATAGATGGGAAGGCCATTCTGTAAACCAAATCAGTGTGAGATGCTGGCCAGGTAAATATGCTGAACCAATGTCATGTATTCCTGATACTATGGAGTTAAGAAGGGTGGGCTATACCAACAAACACAATATATCCTCCAGGAAAAGTCATCCTGACCCTTTTATTGTTGAAATTAAAAAATAAAAGATACTTAAATACAGGTGAACATATAGGGCAAAACAGAATCATAAAATTTAACGTTGAATTAAGCAGTGAGCTGAATGTTTGGGTCTCCAAATTGGCTTGAACCCAAAACTGCTTAAAAATGGGTATGTTCACAGTTAACGGCAATTGGCTTATAGGTGAGAGAATGGTCGAAGCTGTTCCAGTTGAACTTCCAGAGAAATTCTCTCCTCAAGAACATCCTGAAAAAGATGCAAAACTAAGTTATGTTTCGAAGTATATAAAAGTAAGGCACATCTAACAACTCAACATCAAGAAAACAATCTAAATTTGTTAAGAAGATGAAGGGAGAGTCATTCGTATTTTAAATTTTTTTTGTATTTTATTTATGATAGTCACACAGAGAGAGAGAGAGGCATAGACACAGGCAGAGGGAGAAGCAGGCTCCATGCACCGGGAGCCCGATGTGGGATTCGATCCCGGGTCTCCAGGATCACGCCCTGGGTCAAAGGCAGGCGCCAAACCGCTGCACCACCCAGGGATCCCAGTCATTCGTATTTTAAAACGATACTTCACTTAGGAAAGTTTATATGTATGTAATATTAAAATATGATCTTAATTAAAATCTTTTTCTTACTAAATCAGGGTAATAAAGTGTTTTTTTAATTATTAGAAAAGCCAATATTTGCAAATGATGCTATTAATTCATGCATTTTGCATTAAGCCTACAGTAACAGTAGATGACCATTAACACAGACTCTTTCTCCTGGTGATTATAATATCTGGTCATAACAACTCCTGAACCTGATTTGAGTTTGGGTTTCATAATGAATAAATTTATTTTGCAATCAGAATTTCTAATCACTGTTGGTTTTGAGCAGTCTTTTCAGATAGCCAGCAAATCCTAACTTACCTACTTATTTTTATTTTTCTCAATCATGCTGATAGTATTGTGTTTTAATCAGAACTACCTCTTCCTACTTCATATCATACTTCCTGTTTTCTGTTCTCAAAAATAACGAGAAAAGTTATTTTTAAAATAGCTCCTATATACATGTTTCTATAGGCGTCTTTAGTTCTTCAGAAAAAGATCCATCAACAAAATTTTCATTATCAAAGTATGGTAACAGCAAGCTTATCCTTAGTTTTACATTCTTCCTTTATAATAGACCAAATTCATAATCATAGAATGACTACAAATATCTACTTTGGTCAAAGAGCTATACAAAAATATTCATTCACAGATATTTATCAAGTGCCTAACATGTGCTAGGTTTGGGGTAGAGACAAGATGGTTATGAGTTTATCGAGGAGAGTCCCAGTTTATTTCTGATTTCCTGCCTAAACATTAACACATCCCTCTCTCTTTTTCTCTCCAAAGTATTTTTGTTTGGACAACCTATATATGGTCAACCTGCACAGAAAAAAATTATGATTTACTCTCAGTGAGTTCATTTTAGTAGGACAAAGAGACAAATGTGCCATAATAATTCCAGATAGTGTGATGAATGCTGGTTGAGGGATAAAAACAGAATGTTATGGGAACAAGCATTCATTTTACACTTCCACAGACTCTTTTTTCCTCATTTTAGTGGTGTGCAACCTTCCTACTCCAAGTGGGACCAACAGTCATTCCCATCATCCGGAAGCTTACAAAGAAATGCAGAATTCTCAGATCCCACTCCATACCTAGTATGAATCAGAATTTGTATTTTAACACGATCTCTGATTAACTGTATACACATCAAGATGTGAGAGCCACTGGTTTACAAGACATGAATGCTTAATAATGTTGGTAAACCATGAATGATTCTGGCTAATTTTTACTTGCAGGGATTCAAAAAAATCATAGTAGTAAGAAAGAAAAACAAACCCATTCCTCTCAAGTATAAATGATGGGAATATACACTGGCCGTAAGTCCCATTTCTACTTAAGGCTTTTCTTTTCTTTTCCACATTCAAAATGACCTCAATTGTCCTCATCCTCCTTCTTTAGATCCGTTTAACTCCCTTTAATAGAATCTGAGTTGTCTTTGATAAAGGGATAAACTAACAATACTCAAATCATCTTAAAATTAGAGTATAGAAAATCATGTATATGATCTTGGAGGTACCTGAGGTCACAACATTTCTTATCTTGGGTTTTATTATGAAAGTTTAGGAACATTATACAAACAGTGATGCCATACATAGACTGTCTTATTTTATATACATATATAAAGATATATATATATATAAATATATATAAAGACAATCAGACCAGAATCAAGCATACAAAACTTCTTTTAATACCCAAAGATTCAAAGGCATAAAGAACATTTTAGATACACGTTTCTCTTGGTGCCTGGGAAGTATTATACTAGCTTAAGAATTGCTGGATCAGGGATCCCTGGGTGGCGCAGCGGTTTGGCGCCTGCCTTTGGCCTAGGGCGCGATCCTGGAGACCCAGGATCGAATCTCACATCGGGCTCCCGGTGCATGGAGCCTGCTTCTCCCTCTGCCTATGTCTCTGCGCCTCTCTCTCTCTCTCTGTGACTATCGTAAATAAATAAAAATTAAAAAAAAAAAAAAAAAGAATTGCTGGATCACTTTTAAGTTCTAGTTAACTGAGATGTTCTGAGTCCATGGGACTTCCCAAATAAAGATTCAGAATACCTTTAATTGTTGCTGCAATTCACTGTTCAATCTGGCCAAAACTGTGTTGGTTTCCTTATTGCGTCTAATTGATGCCTGAATTGCTTTCTTATCTTTCCCAATAGACCTAAGATAAAAAGAGCAAGAAAAACAGATTGTCATTTCTTATCTTAAATTCTCTCCATTCTTCCAACCTATCTCTAAATCCAGAAACTAGAGGGAACATTTTTTGCCTTAGCAGCATCGCTCAACCTTACTTGTTCCGTTTCAATGGTCAACCAAAAGTACCTAAGCTTCAGGAGCTTAAGTATTATGGTTATTGTTTTAATTCTTCTTATCTGTAGAATCACCTGCATTTATTAGTCCAGAGCAGGCAATGGCAACCATTTTC